AATGAACGAATGATACACGGATTCCGGAGGAACAGGCTGAGCTCTGCGTCCTACAGAATGAGCTCCAGCAGGACACTGGTGTGAATGTCTCTGCCCAAACAATCTCAGACAGACTTCATGAGGGCGGCTTGAGGGACACGTCCTGTAGGTGGCGCTGTGCTCACCGCTCACTGGTTCCATCGGCATTTGCTCAATGACACCAAGAATTGGCAAGTCCTCCCCTGGTGCCCTGAGCTTTTCACAGATGAGAGCAGGTTCACCCTGAGCTCCTGCGACAGACGTGAAAGAGTCTGGAGAAGACGAGGATGCTCCCTGCAACATGATTCAGCATGAACAAGGACGTGGGGCCACATAGGATACTGAGAAGCATTTTGAGGTTATGTTTACAAGATGAGCGTCTGAACAGAAGACAAAAGTGCCAAAAGTGGTGTCGCATCTTCTACTGAAATACAACTTCATTTGTAACAATTTGTAACACTACCTGAACATGGATTTTCTGACTAGAGGCTCTTCTGATGATGATGACAGGCTGACCCCCGTCTAAGAAACAAAATGTGAACTAAAACGTGTTCAATTAATACCACTGAGTTTGGAAAATGATCTGAATAAATGTATATTTTTGTTTAGTAGAATAAAATGACAAATATTGGTGGGAACTATTTTGTCTTCCCCAAATAAAGGTTGTGACGTGTCCCCACCGTCCTGATGCAAACCTACGTCCTTGAACCTGTCATGTGCACTTTAAAGGTTGTATGGAGGATTTTTTTTCAGTTTCAAATTGTCAATGAAAGTTTAAAATACCGTTACAGAGACGCAGCAGCTTTGTAATTATGATGATCAAAAAAAAAAAAAAGAATGAAAATCTATCAACTGTGGACGTGTTGAGGCCAGATAAACATCAGCCAATAGAAAACGAGGCTGCCTCATTTTCTATTGGCTGTCAATCAAACTCCCTATGTTTCTAGTGTAACTGACTCACCGGCGCGTTGGGATTACGTGGTTTATGCGGTGGTTCTTTGAGGCTTTTTCAAACCGTCGCTTCCTCGCAGTTCGCACAAAGTTTGTCGCGATGGCGGACGAGAATCCACGACCAGTTCGCCGCGAAAGAAAGTCAATGTTTTTGAGGTCGCTGAAAGAAGAAGAAGAGAAGGGGGAAAAGGAGCGAAGACAAACTGAGGTGATTCTTGGAGATTCCTTCCAGCGACGGCGCGACTGAAGCAGACGAAGGCTCTAAAAACTGACGCACCTGTCGATAAATGACTTCTGGACAGGTCACTTCAACAGTAATTCTGAACACACGCTGGATGTAAACAAACGTGATTTCTAGAATAAAAAGGAGGGAGGAGGTGTTTCTACTGAGGGAGCTGCATGCACAACATTTGAAAAAGGACTGTCGCTGGATTTCACTTCCCTTAAAAAATCCTCTATACAACCTTTAAGGCTCCAAATTCAAATGACTGAATTGCACTTATTGCTCAGACCGACAGAAACAGACGTGAACCCCACACTGTTCAACATTTCACATTTTAGAGAACGTTTTTGTTGCACTGTTGACTGAAAATGCTGCCGTGTCTTTTTGTAAACTTACCCTCGGTGATCACAATCCAAAACGCTTTGACCTGCGGGTTTATTCCCCCCCAAAACGTGTACGCGTCCAGAGTGCAGCTGTACCAGCCCGAGTCTGAGAGGCGCACGTGTGTGATGCTCACGTCCAGAATAGTTTTAAGCACAGCCTGGTACGGCGTAGCTGTCACGTACTCTACGAAGTCCATGCTGTACCTGCCCCTCTCCTTTCTCTGCTTTTGGGAACCAGAAATCTCAACCAGTATGTCGTGTTTATTCCTGCACTTGTTCTTGCAGAAGCGTTTGAAAGTTCCCGTCGCGTCAAACACACACTCGACCGTGATGTTCCCTCCTTCAGCTGCTCTGTGCATGTCCTCTGCTCCTGCGCCGCACAACACTGTTCAACACAACAACAACACAACAACATCAGGACAAGCTCTGGACTTCTACTCTTCCATTACATTTTGAATTTTCAACATCGCTGAATTTCTCACTTAGAATTTTTTAACTCTGAAAAAAAAAGACAGTACAATGTGGTTCATTTGGTCTGAAAATTTCTGTTATTAGGTTCGTTTTTTCAGACCCAGAGTTTGTTTTCATATGTGAAGGTTTCGACTGCTGCCTGTGGTCGTCCTGCAATAAAACACACATACAAAAAAAGAAGGATGGGAGAAGGAAACAGCGAAGGTGAAACACGAGCAACAAAACACAAAGCAAAACAGGAACAACTCTAATCGTCCGTTTCTGAGCAGTGTAAAAGAGAGAAGCACGTTATGGTCTGGGACGGGGCAAACATCACCAAGTGCCCCTGGCTGCAGCTCGCAAATCAGGGTTGGCAGAAATGTGGGGCGGAGCTCAACGTCTGGCCACGCCCTGATGGTTTGGGCTCAATGTTTGGCTTTGCACTGGTGCCACCTGGTGCAAAGATCAGGCAACACACTGAAACTGAAACGTCAGTCATACGGCACTGGAAAACTTCACGGCAAAGCAAAACTTCTGGCAGTATGTGTGTCATTTTCCAGACACAGTGTCTGGAAAATGACATTTTCAGTTTTCATGACTTATCCAAGATTTCTATGACCGTGGGAACCCTGAAGCTAATATTTGGTATGTATTTAGGTGATGTTAGGTTGCTTTATTTGTACGTGTGGGTAAATTTATTTTACAGATTTGAGGGGCAGGTCTCACATTTCACATTTCACATTTCATACACATATAAAAACACAATTACAAAATAAAGTGTTACAGAGCTCCAGTGCAGAATGGTTTGTTCCATAAACAATTACTGTACTTCCCGGGCTATTAGACGAGCTCTTAAGCCCCTAACCCAGGGGTGTCCAAACTTTTATCATCAAGGGCCACATATCTAAACACAGAAGAAGCAGAGGGACGATCGAGGGCCGCAGACTGACGCTCAATACAGTGAGTAATTGACATGTGCATGTTTAACTCGTTAGATTGAACCATCAGACTTTATTCATGCTAAGATCCTTAAAACCAAACACTAAATATTCAATATTTGCTTTATCAAGGTCAATTTTCAAAAAACTTGCAGTAAAAAAATATTTTTTAATTGATGCAAGGTCATTTGAGCCAATTCACCTGGAAGTCTGAGGGCCAAGAAAAACTTGTCTGAGGGCCGCATTTGGCCCCCGGGCCATAGTTTGGACATGCCTGCGCTAACCCCATCAAAAAACGACCGCGCGCCACAATCCAGAGCCCCCCATACATGAATCCACTCAGGTGTCCCAGGACTAAACCAGGACTAAACCAGGTCTAAACCAGGACTAAACAAACAGGTCTAAACAGGTCTAAACCAGGTCTAAACCAGGTAAACCAGGTCTAAACCAGGACTAAACCAGGACTAAAGCAGGACTAAAACCAGGACTAAACCAGGTCTAAACCAGGTCTAAACCAGGTCTAAACCAGGACTAAACCAGGTCTAAACCAGGTCTAAACCAGGTCTAAACCAGGACTAAAGCAGGACTAAAACCAGGTCTAAACCAGGTCTAAACCAGGACTAAACCAGGTTAAACCAGGTAAACCAGGTCTAAACCTGGACTAACCAGGTCTAAAACCAGGACTAAACCAGGTCTAAACCAGGTCTAAACCAGGCTAAACAGGACTAAACCAGGTCTAAACCAGGTCTAAACCAGGTCTAACCTGGAAAACCAGGTAAAACCAGGTCTAAACCAGGACTAAACAGGACTAAAACCAGGTAAACCAGGTCTAAACCTGGTCTAAACCAGGTCTAAACCAGGACTAAAGCAGGACTAAAACCAGGTCTAAACCAGGTCTAAACCAGGTCTAAACCAGGACTAAAGCAGGACTAAACCCAGGTCTAAAACAGGTTTTAACAGGACTAAATCCTGCTGTGTGGACGTGTTTCCTTCTTTTCTATCAATAATATTTTTAATTTGGTTCAGTAAAGTCTGGGCTTTTTTATTTTCTTTTATCAGACAAAACATTTTATGTGACGATTTCCTCGTCTTTGCTTCTCTACAGCAAATCAAGTAATCCAAAGTATTCAGATTACATTACTCACTTTAAGTAATTTAATGGATTACGTTACAAACTACATTTTGGTGTGTGTAATCTGTAATCTGTAGGGGATTACATTTTAAAAGTCACCTTCCCAACACTGACTGTAAAACATCCTTTTCATTGCAAATAAAACACAGTGCGCACATAATTTAGATTAATATTGCCAAGTAAAAAGAAAACTAAACCAAATGAAAGCTTGTTGTTGTTGTAAAACACATAAATTAAACTCACCAAACAGCAGGAGGACTGGACAGGTGATCTTCATGGTGCTGGTTGCAGAGTTCTGACGGTCTTTCTCAGCTCTGTCTATATATTAGCAGAAAACCACAAGTGTGTGCGGCGTCCTGCTCGAGCCTGGGTGGGACACTGACACTTCTGAAGCCCCTGTACTCTCATTTACACGTGGCCGAGCTCAAAGTGTGTCAAAACTGTAACTGCGTCTAATCTATGAGAAACTTTCTGACTGTGGTTTCCTCTTCACACTCGTCTAAACTTCGTAAACATCGGGTCTCGTGTCGTCGTGTCGGAACATAAAACTTTCCTCTGGTCTACTTCAGCACAGATCAGACCCCAGACGTGTCAGTGTGGGGAGGGTGCATCATTCCACAGCTCTGGCTCGGTCAGTAATCAATAATCAATAATGAGCCAAGATCCCTCTACTGCAGAACCACGGGCGACCAGTGGATGGCAGCAGGGAGCCACCACGCGCCAACGAGTGTGAGGTCAACACACACGGGTCGACTATAGACAGTTTTTTTTTTTTTTTAACCACAGACTGTGTAAAAAGGTCAACACTAAAAAACTGTATATACTAGTGCTGTCAATGAAAAACATTGAGAGATTAATAAATTATGATCTGTAATTAATTAATCGAATTAATCTTTTTTAATCTCACCTAAAAATTGCAGAGAAAAGCCTTCAACTTTAGGTATTTTCATTTGAATTCATTATTACATTATTTTCATACTATCATTAACGTTTTTATATAAGTATCATTATTATTACTGTTACTAATCTGCATAAAAAACTCAACTTTATGACATATAAACATAAACATTCTAGAGCCACATCAGCTGTTTGACATTATAATGTGTTTAATGCAGATTTGTGCAAGTCTCACAGAAACGAAACTTAAAACCACATGGCTCATTTACATAAATTAAGCGGAGAAAAAAATAAAAATAAACGCTCTTGTGTTGCTGATGTGGTTCAGTTTCTACTAAAGGACACGACTCAGTGGAATATAGATGTTGATGGTGAAGGTGAGTCTGTTCTGTGTCTGTGTCGTGATGTTTTCAGAGATCAGACATGTGCAGGTTTATCGCAGATGCGGCGAACGGAAATGAAGATTAGGCCTCAATTCTTTGCGGGAGCGAGCGGAGCAGGACTGCACAGTGCGGGACTGTGTCCTCGCATATAGAAACAGTAAAGTTAGAGATTAAAAATGAGATTAACGCGATTAAAAAACATTAAGCGCTAAATATGACTGTAATTAATTAACATGATAATTTGACACCCCTAGTATATATATCTATCCATCCATTTTCTTCCACTTATCCAGGTCCGGGTCGCTGGGGCATCAGTCTAAGCAGGGACTCCCAGACTTCCTTCACCCCAGACACTTCCTCCAGCTCCTCCAGGGGGACCCCAAGCCGTTCCCAGGCCAGTCCAGAGACATAGTCCCTCCAGCGTGTTCCCTGGGGTTTCCTTCTGGTGGGACATGCCCAAAACACCTCCCGATGGAGACGTCCAGGAGGCATCCGGAACAGATCCCCGAGCCTCAACTGCTCCTCTGAACATGGAGGAGCAGCGGCTCTACTCCGAGCTCCTCCCTTGTGACTGAGCTCCTCACTCTGTCTCTAAGGGAGCACCCAGACACCCTGAGAAGGAAACTCAAAAACTTCGTGTGCTTGTATCCACGATCTCGTCCTTTCGGTCATTACCCAGAGCTCATGACCAGAGGTGAGAGTAGGAACATAGACTGACGGTAAATCGAGAGCTTCATCTTTGGACTCAGCTCCTCTTCACCACAACGGTCCGACACAGCGACCGCATCACTGCCGACGCTGCACCTGTCCACCTGTCAATCTCACATTCTGCCCTCCCCTCACTCGAGAACAAAACCTCGAGATGCTTGAACTCCTCTACTTGAGACGAGGACCCTCCACCCACCCGACCCTCACCGTCGAGCACCCAGCCCAGGCCTGGCTCCAGGGTGGGGCCCCCGTGACGCCATTCCGGGCGACGTAACTGGCCTCGCTGGTTTGCTTCTCATAGGGGCTTCTGAACCGTTCTTAGTCTGACCCGTCCCCCCCGAACCTGTTTGCCTTGGGTGACTCTACCAGGAGCATGAAGCCCGAAAAAAGAGCGACTATCAGCACAAGTGCACCTCCCAAACGGAGCTCTACTTGTGCCCCGACTCTACTGACGATATTCCACGGAAAAATGTACGGACATGACCTCACAAATATCTCATCACCAACAAGCAAAAGGAAATCTGCACATACTTCTACATCGCTGTTCTCCACTAAACAATCATCTTAGACCAGGAGTTTCAAACTCAAATGTACAGAGGCCAAAATTAAAAACTGGGACTAAGTCGTGGGCCAAACTAAATATTTGCTGAAAAATTTCAACACCATCTGCATGTTTTCTCTTCTTTCAAGATATGTAATGTTAATCCTTTTCTTTTTCATATAAATGTTTAATTATAGTTTTGCTTAAACACTGAATCCAGAACAAGCAGAATATAAAATAATAACAACATTTTAAATAAATAATGTCTCTGTAGTCGATCTGTAGCCAGCGAGCAGCTCTAATACAGATTTAATATGATCTCACGGGCCAGATATAATTATATCGCGGGCCAAATTTGGTCCCCGGGCCTGAGTTTGACATGTCTGTCTCAGAAGAACAACGGACACAAACTGCAAAATTAAACCACCTCTCACTTATTTTGGACCTGAGTTGGGTGTGACATCGTCCGAGAAACAGAATTTTTGGTTTTCATTTCCGTAAACCACAGTAATCATAAAAATGCCAAGAAATAAAGTCTTTAAAGTTTCACTCTCCATGCCACGAGTTTAAAGAACATTTAGGTTTGACTTTCTGAAATAAGTGGCAAAAATATTGAACTTTTTCATGATGCTCAAACGTTCTGAGATGATCTGTGTTCTCTGCTTCAGTCGCACTTGTTCATTTTATTTTTTATTTATACATTATGTTATCTTAAGGGCTCGTTTTGAATATAAGTACGAATTCAGTGTGTGTCCTAAAAAAAAAAAAAAAAAGAAAAAAAAAAAAAAAGAAATCCAATCAGTCCAGTGAGAGTGTTGACATTCCCAAGCGCAGCCACCAGAGGGCACTGTCGTCTAACAAAAGAGCATCGAGTTCAAGTGCGAAAAACTACAAAAAATATTCACTAACAGCGATTTTAAACACTTTTAGGTCCTGACACATTAATCAGGACTGCAAAAAAATATTAAACCCGATTTGTATTTTATGTTAATAGTAAAAATTCCTTATTAAAATGTCAATATTGTTGCTCAGAAAACATATTTTAGTAATAGTATGGAGTATAGTAATGTACATTTTTATTCCTCAAACATTTTACAATATACCACAAAAAACATTTATTTTATCTGTAATTCTCGCACACATTTAAATCTACAGTAAAGTTCTGATTGTAGATATTTTTATACACATTTTCTGGCTTTTTTCTGGAGTGATACTTAAATATTATTGCTTTTTCTTGAACGTTACATAGTCATATCTTCACACAACACTTTAATAAAATAGTTTATTGTAATAAAAAAGGGACACAAACATTTTATATATTTGAAAAAGAAAAATCAGCAGAATGTGCAGAAAAAAGATGAATATTCATGATGGTTTCTTCAAAATCACTGTTGTTTTCACTTGTAACAAAAAAAATATATAAAAAACTAAATACAGAACTTATGATATTAAAATGATAATTATTCACATCCGTAACATTTAGTCCTGGTTTAGTCTTGGTTTAGTCCTGGTTTTAGTTCTGGGTTTAGTCCTGGTTTAGTCCTGGTTTTAGTTCTGGTTTTAGTCCTGGTTTCATCCTGGTTTCGTCCTGGTTTAGTCCTGGTTTTAGTTCTGGTTCAGTCTTGATTTAGTCCTGGTTTTAGTTCTGGTTTTAGTCCTGGTTTAATCCTGGTTTAGTCCTGGTTTTAGTTCTGGTTTAGTCCTGGTTTAGACTTGGTTTAGTCCTGGTTTATTCCTAGTTTAGACTTGGTTTAGTCCTGGTTTAGTCCTGGTTTAGTCCTAGTTTAGACTTGGATTAGTTCATGGTTTTAGTCCTGGTTTAGTCCTGGTTTAGACCTGGTTTAGTCCTGGTTTAGTCCTGGTTTTAGTTCTGGTTTCGTCCTGAGATTTACTTTAAAACATTGCAGATAACACATAAAACACAATTACACATAAAAGCTGTGTTGTTTTAACCCGTCCAGACAATCAACAACCACACAATTACGATGTCCGAATCCCAAAACTAAAATATGACAACACCAGAACCAAAAACAAAAGCGATACGGTTCAAAAGACTTGAAAAGATCGACTTTGACAAGAGACACATCCCGAGATTCTTGATGCGTGTATTGATGGAGGATCCGCCCTCAGCCGTTTTTCTTCAAATGGCTTTTTTTTGCTCGCTACAAATAGAACTTCTAATCACTTTTTATCATCATTTCCCCAATTCTGGACATGAACATCTCCCACGTAAACATCAATTTAGACCCAAAAACATGGTTTATGTGACTCCAAATCTGTGACCAATAAGATTTCAGACTAGTGCAATCCCCCAAAAAATGACAGTATTGGTATTGTTGTTTTGATTTTCAGGTTTATTTTAGTCCAAATGTCCAAATCCAAATGTAATAAACCTCATGGAAATGCAGGAAGTGATGTGGCTCTGGAAAATCACGGGGCCATTGCACTTTTTGTTTAGTTATGAGGCATTAAGGATATTTTTAGTTTACTTACACACTTGATATTTTGCACTTTCGTAGGTAAGGCTCTAAATCAGGGGTGTCAAACATACGAGATCGGGCCCTCCGAGACCTTTAATCTGACCCTTGGCTGATTTTCTACTAAAATATTTTTATTATATTTTCTATTAAAGCAGCGTCTCCAGCGTCTCTGTACGTGGCCCCTCCCACCAGAGCAGCACAAATGAAGACTTGTCTCTTTCCAAACGCTCTTAAAGGACGATCGTTTTGACTGTTGACCGTGACACCCTCATCAGAAAAATGTCCAACATGAGAAAAGTGGACTCCAAGAAAAATTGATTTATTCCTATTTGCACAAGTTCATGTTAAAACTTTGTGTTGAAATTGCGTTTTTTCTTAAAGTTTCAGGTTGTTCATAATATTATAATATTTTGTAAAAGAAAGAGTTCATCAATTAAAAACAGATTTCTGTAATAGATTTGTGTTTCTCTGCACAAATATTTAAACTTATTGTTATTTTTGGGGTTTATATGACATGAGTTTTCTGATCCGGACACTTTGGGATCAAAGTCGGTTGGATACGACCCCCAGAACAAAATGAGTTTGACACCCCTGATTTAAATTAAGCGTTTTTTATGTTCAAAAAGTTGTTTTCTGTGTGTTTTGTATGAAAGAGTGTGATTTTTATTTTGCGTTTTTTGTTTTTTTCATGTGTATTTCTAGTCCTACAGCTTTTATTTCAGCCATATGACACAAGTACAGCAGCAGATTATAAAATAACAGGTTGTACTGAAAAAAAGGATGTATAATCAGTGTTGGGGAGTAACAGATTACATGTACTGGAGTTATGTAATCAGAGTACAAATTATGAGTAACTGTATTCAGTTACAGTTACTGTTTCAGTGAGTGGTAACTGGATTACAGTTACTTTGTTGAAATAAACGGATTACACGGCGGGATTTTCCTGTTTTTCACATTTCGGGCCAAACCAGGTCTAAACCAGGTCTAAGCCAGGATTAAAACCAAGTCTAAACCAGGACTAAACCAGGATTTAACAGGACTAAAGCTGCTTGGACCGTGTTTCCTCGTCTTCTACCAATAATATTTTTAATTTGGTTCAGTAAAGTCTGGGCTTTTTTACTTTTTTTAACAGACAAAACTTCTTATGTGAAGATTTCCTCGTCTTTGCTTCTCTACAGCAAATCAAGTAATCCAAAGTAATCAGATTACATTACTCACTTTAAATAATTTAATGGATTCTGTTACAAACTACATTTTGGTGTGTTTAATCTGTAATCTGTAGGGGAATATGTTTTAAAAGTCACCTTCCCAACACTGTTTATATTACACACTTCATAAAGGGGTAAAAGGGGGAGTTTTAAAAGTAAAATTAAGGAAAAAAAATCCAGGCGAGGACAAATGTACAAAATGGTAAAATTGCCTTTAAGTCTGGAGCGGTTTAAAAGGAGCTCTGATCCAGTTTCTTCATGATGTCCTGGACCCAGCGCAAGTTCGGATCCACACAAACATTCAGGTTCTTTTGGGTCACGAAACTGAAAAATAAAATTAAAAAAAATGATTCATTGTGAGTGTGGAGCTTGTTCTGTTTCAAGTAGCCTAAAAATCTGTGCAATTGAACAAATTTAAGAAACAATAAGAGGAGGAGACAAACTGAAAAACTATTACACAGAGAGAGTCCTAGAACACCCGCATTTTTCCAGTTATTTATCGCAATTCAAGTCCAGTGAAGAGCTTGAAATGGTACAAAAGAAAGAACTGAACAAAGAACAAAAACACAAGTCCAAGTTCTGCCAAAATGACCTCAGGAAAAAAGAACAAGATGGTAAAGTTTGTGTCCAGCAGCAGCAGCACAGTGTCCAGACTTAAACCCCATCGAGTGAAGCAAGTTACAAGTTGAATTAACACTAGTGGAAGTTAAATTAAGACTAGTGGGAAGTTAAATGAACACTAATGGAAGTTGAATTAACATGAAACGAAGCTGAATTAAGACTAGTGGAATTTAAATTAACACTAGTGATAATTGAATTAACAGTAAACGAAGATGAATTAAAACTAAACGAAGATGAATTAACACTAAACAAAGTTGAATTAACACTAAACGAAGTTGAATTAACAAAGAAGTTGAATTAACACTAAACAAAGTTGAATTAACACTAAACGAAGTTGAATTAACACTAAACGAAGTTGAATTAACACTAGTAGAAGCTGAATTAACACTAAACAAAGTTGAATTAACACTAAATGAAGTTGAATTAACACTAAACAAAGTTGAATTAAGACTAGTGGAATTTAAATTAACAGTAGTGATAGTTGAATTAACACTAAACAAAGATGAATTAAGACAAGTGGAAGTTGAATTAACAGTAAACGAAGTTGAATTAACACTAAACAAAGTTGAATTAACACTAAACGAAGTTGAATTAACACTAAACGAAGTTGAATTAACACTAAATGAAGTTGAATTAACACTAAATGAAGTTGAATTAACACTAAATGAAGTTGAATTAACACTAAACAAAGTTGAATTAACACTAAATGAAGTTGAATTAAGACTAGTGGAATTTAAATTAACAGTAAAGTTGAATTAACACTAAACAAAGTGAATTAAGACATGGAAGTTGAATTAACATAAACTAAGTTGAATTAACACTAAACGAAGTTGAATTAACACTAAACGAAGTTGAATTAACACTAGTAACTGAATTAACACTAAACAAAGTTAATTAACACTAAATGAAGTTGAATTAACACTAAACAAAGTTGAATTAAGACTAGTGGAATTTAAATTAACAGTAGTGATAGTTGAATTAACACTAAACAAAGATGAATTAAGACAAGTGGAAGTTGAATTAACAGTAAACGAAGTTGAATTAACACTAAACAAAGTTGAATTAACACTAAACGAAGTTGAATTAACACTAAACGAAGTTGAATTAACACTAAATGAAGTTGAATTAACACTAGATGAAGTTGAATTAACACTAAACAAAGCTGAATTAACAATAAATGAAGTTGAATTAACACTAAATGAAGTTGAATTAACACTAAACAAAGTTGAATTAACACTATAGTGGAAGTTAAATTCACATTAGTGGAAGTTAAATTAACTGTAGGGGAAGCTGATCTAACTTCAACCATATCAACTCTGGCAAATATCCTCAAATAGTTAAAATAACACTTTTTGAGTTGAAACGACTCTGAAATATGGTGGTATAGAGAAACATGTTCGAGACAAGTACGAATAACGTCTATTGACTTGGGTCGCGACGGTTTGTGAGTTTTAAAATACGAGTCCCCAGGAAAAAAAAAAAAAAAGTTTTGCAAACACTGACCTATATAATTTCTAAACAAACGATGACGACTTAGAGTTTGATGAAGTGTTTTATAACAGATGGAATCTGGGGAAATCAAGCAAATAATAATCATCAGGTCAGTTCCTTCCTTTGGCATGACTCGACTCCTTATTTTTGGCTCATGACACAAAGGCAGGACTTTTCTCTTTTCAGTTTCACTCTCTCTCTGTACGGCAGTGTAACTATCCAGAACACATTTAAAGATTTACAGAGAGCTTTCCCTAATACCAAAGACGAAAACATATTTCTTGTCTGAATATTTAAAATTTTGTCGTTACTTACATGACGCCGGATCTGGTGCAGCGTTCGTCAGTCAGAGTGTAACTCCGGATCCTTCTTGGACCTATTACTCTTGGGTACACTCTGAAACAGCAGTTTTCTGGTCCAATCGCATCTAAAAAAATAAGTAATAAATAAAAATGCATGTTAATAGTTGAGTTATCGCAGGAAATAAACTCAAGGAAAGACTCATTTTTACTGAGGCAGAAGGTTGAGGAGACCAGGAGAGCTCCCAGGACGCACAGCAGGAGGACGGACGGCTTCATGGTTTATCGGGGAGATGAAGATCTGAGATAAAAAGACCGCAGCAGAGCAGAGGCAGGCGTCTGATGGACAGGAGCGAAGGCACGGGGTGATAAAGTGTGCAAAGGAGGAAGAGAAGGAGGAAGAGGAGGAGGACGAGGAGGCGGGGGGCTGTGGTTTACCTTTTATGTGGCTCTGACAGGAACTCACCTCTCGGGTTTTTTTACTGATCGACAAGTTGTTCCCAGCACGGCTCAAGAGAAAAGTAAAGCACATAAAAACATTAACGAAACAAAAACAAATCGTATTTAAAGGATATTAAGTAGAAAACTCCATTTATGAGTCTTATTGTGCATTTCAAACTTTAGAAAACCTCCCTTCAGCTTCACAAATGTAACTCAGCAGTGGGAGTCTTGCTTTTATTTATTATTGTCCTTTAGGTTGCATCAGTTGACCTGTTTTTGACACATTTCTGAAAGTCAATCTCTATCTAAGTAAGAATTTACACTTGCCGGAGTAAAGTTGCATGAGAAATTTCATGAAATTCTGTTGATTTCTACTGGGTCCACTGATATGTATTGCCTGCAGAAGCCTCAAAACAGTTTTTCTTTAATAACATCAAAAATAATTAATTTAGCACGAAGTTGAATTAAGTTGAATTAACAGTGGAAGTTGAATATAAACAATGGAACACTTGTGAAGTTGAATTAACACTAAACTGGTTAACACTAATTTTAACACTGTCACTAAACTAAATCATCATTAGTTTTAACACTGAGAATTGAATTAACACTGACAAAATATATGTCATTTCTTTGGGACTTCAAGGACCTTGAATAAGCGACAGGTCCTGAATTGTAACAAATGTCGGGCCTAAGACACATTATGGAACTAGAAATGAACAAATTTAGAACTCAAAGACTTGAAACTGTGAAAAGTAAAATCTTTAATACAGGTTTTATTATATTATGACTGTTGTTATCAGACGTATTCACTGTAAAATACTTGTCAAAGCATCAAAAAGAAACAGGGGTGGGCAAAAATACTGAAATATTGATATATCGTATCGTTTAATCTGATAAGTCCACGATCACTACAGAAAGAAAAAAAACTCTCTCATTTCATCTTTGACCTTTTTTTTTTTTTTTTTTATAATTATCCAAAATACACAAACACTCAAAATCCATCTTAGTAAGTTAAGATAGAATAAATATATAAAAATAGATATAAAACTGGTACCAAAAGATGCACAACAGCAACATTTATATTCTGTTATAACTTTCATTGACTCCATGGCCCTAAATGGATTATTTTTAAAGTTCTCATGGACACCGTTAGGATGGAATTTAAGAGGTTTGGTGGATCCAGTAGATTTTACTCAGTTGAGCAAATATTCCACAAATTTTCTTTTAATTGGTTTTGTCACATTTTTAAAATTGGGTCCAAGTTGAATTTCTGACACTGGGACAAATGATGCAGCCTAATGCCCCTGATCCACTGACGTCCATTCATCCATTTTCTTCCACTTATCTGGGGCCGGGTCGAGGGGGCAGCAGTCTAAGCAGGGACTCCCAGACTTCCCTCACCCCAGACACTTCCTCCAGCTCCTCCGGGGGGACACTGAGGCGTTCCCAGACCAGCCCAGAGACATAGTCCCTCCAGTGTCCTGGGTCTTCCTCAGGGCCTCCTCCCGGTGGGACATGAACACCTCCTGAGGGAGACGCCAAAGGAGGCATCCGGAACAGATGCCCGAGCCTCAACTGGCTCCTCTCGACGTGGAGGAGCAGCGGCTCTACTCCGAGCTCCTCCCGTGTGACTGAGCTCCTCACTCTATCTCTAAGGGAGACGCCCAGACACCCTGAGGAGGAAACTCATTTCGAGCGCTTGTATCGGTGATCTCGTCCTTTCGGTCATTACCCAGAGCTCATGACCAGAGGTGAGAGTAGGAACGAAGATTGAGCGGTAAATCGAGAGCTTCGTCTTGGGGTACAGCGACCGCATCACTGCCGACGCTGCACCTGTCCACCTGTCAATCTCACGCCCCGTCCTCCCCTCACTCGAGAACAAGACCCCGAGATACTTGAACTCCTCCACTTGAGGCAGAGACTCCACTGACGTATCTTTTATTATTTTAGTTTTGTTTAGTTTTTTCACACCCCATAAGAAAAAAATAACTAACATCAATGACAAAAAGAGCAGAGATGGCAAAGGAGAAATTCAGCTTGTCAACTGGACAAACGTTTATTAATTAATTTATTTTCGACCTAAATAAACGTTTGTCCAGTTGTCAAATTGAATACCTGGACGACTGAAGGTTTCCCCACGCAAAAGAGCAAACACACACAGAACTTTAATTTAAATTTTAACTTTTCTTTATTTTAATAAAACAATTTCTGTACATTTCAAGTGAGATACAGTAGCGTCAGGGACCCTCTTCCGTCTGCGTGTTCGTCTTCGGGGCCTCTACAGTCGAAGGGTCTCGAGGGGACGGACGTTTTAAAAGCCAAACAAAAAAAAACAAAACAAAACACAATCACACGTACAAAAACAAACAAAAATCATAAATCGGACGGACGTAGGTAGTGTCACGCGCACATCGAGACTTATCGCTTGGAGAAACGTCGGAGAAGACCAGCTCAAAACGAGGCACAACTCAAAAAAAAAAAAAAAAAAAAGGCTGAGATGTGTGTGCAAAAAGCATTATTGCAGTCCTGCGGTGTGTCACCACATTCGGGGGGCGGGGGGAGGAGTGCATCGAGAGCGGCTGCTGCACAGTGAAGCGCACGGCCCAACGCGGCTCACACGAAGACAAAAATCAACCACTTCCTGTTTTAAACTCTGTCCCTGTTCGTACAGAGACAAACGTGTCAAATTGTCACCGCCCGAGGAGTTAAAATAGTAGCTTCGTGCGATGTCGACAATGAGGTCACGGGGTTAAGGTTTGCAACAACAATTGGACCACGGCCACAAAAAAAAACAATCGTGACCCGACAAAGACGCAACAAAAATGTTAATCTTTTGCAGAAATACAGGCCGAGCAGCCGACTTATCGTATCGAGCAGAGGTGCAGGTTTAATTTGGTCCATAATTTATAAGAATCTGTGTTTCAAAAATAAAACCAAAAATAAGAAAATGAAAAAAACTACTATTTTCTTCATTATTTGTCTCCAAAACCAAAATAAAAAAAACAGATGATGATTTGTTTTTTTTTTTTTTCAGTTTTCGATTTTGTGTTTAAATGAAAAATGGAAAAAAATTGATAAAGGACTAAACTAGGACTATACCAGGACTAAAACAGGACTGAGGCCAGGACTGAGGCCGTGACCAGACCGTGACCAGACCGTGACCAGACCGTGGACCAGGACCAGGACCAGGACTGAGGACTGACCAGGAACAGGACCGGCACAAAGACCGGGACTGAGACCAGGAACAGGACCAGGACTGAGACCAGGACAGGACCAGGACTGAGACCGGGACTGAGACCAGGACCTGACCAGAACTGAGACCAGGAACAGGACCAGGACTGAGACCGGGATTGAAAACGGGACTGAGACCAGGATTGAGGCCAGGACCTGTCCAGGACAAGACCGTGACTGAGACCGGGACCAGACCAGGAACAGGACCAGGACTGAGACCGGGACTGAGACCGGGACCAGACCAGGGCTGAAAACGGTTCAGTCCTGGTTCAGTCCTGGTTCAGTCCTGGTTCAGTCCGGCATCCCAGTTTAAGTCGCGTAAACATGTTATCCGTTTTTTTTTCCATTATTTAAACACAAAATCGAAAAACTGAAAAAAACTAATCATTATCTGTTTTTCATTTTGGTTTTGGAGACAAATAATGAAGAAAATATTCGTTTTTCCGTTTTCTTATTTTTGGTTTCATATTGAAAAACGAATGAACGAATGATACACGGATTTATAAGGAGTACCCATTTTGATCACATTTTGTGCTGAAAAGTCAGGAGACTGAACTCGTTTCTTACACTAAAAACAAAATAATAAAACATCCATATTAAATCTCTTATATTTAAACCTTTTAAAAACATATAATTGGGTTAGGCCTGAGGAAAAAAGTTTGGGCACCCCTCTTAAATCGCTTTGTTTTCACTAGACATGGGTCAAGTTTGGTTTTTGCAGTTGGTATTCGCAGTAGACGTTAGAGAAAGCAAAGATCAGACATGGGGTTCCACAAGGGTCCGTCTTCGGCCCGATTATTTTTATCTTTGAGCCAGACTACGGTGTCCAAGGTTCCTGGAACTGTGTCCAGAAGAAACAAAGCAGCAGGTAGAATTTAATTTTACACTACCAAATTTACAAGTATACAGGGTGTCCCAAAAAAATGTAACATCATTTCGCAGGCCAGTAATGTTGGTAATTCTTAACCTCAAATTTTCACAGAATGTATAGAAACAGATTAAGATTTTATATTTAATGTTTTGTTTTTTTCCGTTTCCAGGTTGAATTAAAAACAGAAAACACCCAAAATTCTTGTACAGATGAGCAATGTCCAAAAGCTTTTTCATTTTTAAATAACGTTTCAGCGAAAAAAATCCTTCGTCAGATATTTTTGTTGCTTTGGAAAACAGTACCCTTACAGTACACATGTTATTTTTTCACTTTTTTTCACTTTTATCCATTTCCAGGCTGAGCTGTTCACTCCCAAACAGAAGTCATTTTGTGTCTTGGGATCTGCTTGCACACACTTTTGGAAAAACAAATTTGGACTGTGTAGAATTTGGCTGCTTCTACAGAACTAAAGGGTCTTGGTACCAACATCAACATCAGAAGATAAAGTCGAGCCAGTTCGTGAAAAACTCTTGCGAAAACCCAGATTCCTCGAATTCCTCTTTACATTTTTGGTTCCAAGTCCAAATTTGTTGCCAGTTGGTGAAGTTTTTTCCAAATTCCAAGACACAAAGTGACAACATGAAAACAGAACAGAAATAAAACATTAAATATAAAATCATTTCTAATTAGGGATGTAACAATATCCAAATCTCACTGCAATATTTTCACAATATGATATTTATTGTGATATTTTGTGGAGGCAAACAGAACTACTGCTACTTTTTCCTCTTAAAAAAATGCCTCGACAAGACTTAATCCAAAGACTTAAAAGTGTTAGAACTGTTATTTCTTCTTGTAGTTTGCACCAAAACGGAGCAAAGGATCATGGTCTATGTAGTTCCCTCAGTTTTTTTTAGCTATTGCTGCACTTTAAGAAACTTTTGATTCAATAGGCGAGTTTCATTGTTGACAAAAGCGCGCGTTGCATGCTGGGAATTATTTTGGTCGGCGGCAAGAAACACTAATTCAACACGACGGACGGAGCGAGAAAGCACGTAAAGGGTATTGATCCCGGTTATTTATCCACTCTAACGGCAGAGGACCCAAGACCATTTGACCAGAAATTGGTCATAAGCATCGACGGACGACAAATCACCCTTTTCAACCCCGACAAAAGGTGGAACAAACCAAATTTCTGGTCAGAATCGCCAACTACCTGGACAAATATTCACTTGGGCGACATCCACAATGACTTGGTGGAAACTCCTGGGCCATTCACAGCAGAAAAGATGAAAACCTCCAAGAGTCTCGATGTGTTGTTGAACTTGTTGGAGTCCACGGTTTGTTAGGATCTTCTACGTTTGCTCTGCGGATGTTTGAAAGTCGTTTAATTCACCGTTAGCGGTTCTTTTCACTCAGAATACGAAAAAGACATTTTCCTTCTTCCGTGCTTCTATTTGTGCATCCGATAATGCAGCAGGAATTTACCATTATCGGGGAGAAATACGCGAGGTTACGCACTGTGTTTGACGCTACCGTGTTTCTTGCCTCCGACCAAAATATTTCCCAGCAGCAACGCGGGCTTTTAATAACAATGACGTCAGCTGAAACTCGACTATATACTGTGATGTTCCGTGATATTATTGAGAGACTCATGATATTTTGTTTATTGTTACACCCCTAGTTTCTGTAGATTCTGTGAAAATTTGAGGTTATTTCAACAAGAATTGCCGAAATTATTGACCTGTGAAGTTTTTTGGGACACGCCGTTTTACGTCGACAGGCTGCGAATCGTCAGTCATTATTATTTTCAGTTAAATCATCACTGTGCAGAACAAAACTTAATCAATCCGTAACTCACTGAATCCAATATAATAAATCTCTTTAAATCACTTAATTTCATCCTTCATCGTCATGATAAATATTAAATAAGAAAACGACACTCACGCCAAAAATAAAAACAATGAAATGTAACCTCACGTTTGCACACTTGAGTCCAGTGTATGCGACGTACAGTAACGATAACGAGGCCCGTTTAAAGCTGCTACCGACCCCTTTTCCTGATTACAATTAACTTGGAGCGGACACGAAAAGTTACATTTGCGTAAGCTGAGATTCCACAGGTTTTACAGAATTTCGGAAAGATCGGCGCGAAAAAAAGTTCCATCGGGAGCGCGCCGTTCCCGGACACGATATATCGCTGCGTGGAGTAAGTCCTTCGTCGCGTCCGCCAGTGCTGGAGTGGGTTGTACATTCTTGGGCTACAGTGTCGGGACAGTAGGGTGTTCGGATAAGGCCTCGAGTGCTCTCCCCACAGCGGAGGCGAACCGCAACAGCCGGGATTCGGGACGGGACCTCCGACAGTGTCCCAGGGGAAGGTCCGCGCAGCCCGGGTTGGATCCCCCCTGTGCTCCGGCCTCCTCCGACGGGGGGAGTGGGAGAGTGGACGGTGAGACGGTGTGGTGGATGTGAGGTGTTCAGCGCCTCAGCACCGGGCTGCCCTTGTCCTGGTCCTTCTGTAAGGCCTGCAGCACCTGAGGGAACACAGTGGAATATGCACTTTAAAGAGGCTCACATCCGAGACTGGGAAAGATTTGCTGGATAATTATTATATATCTTGGTCAGATATATAAACTGACAGTGCTGGGAAGGTGACTTTTAAAATGTAATCCCCTACAGATTACAGATTACAGACTCCAAAATGTAGTTTGTAACGGAATCCATTAAATTACTTAAAGTGAGTAATGTAATCTGAATACTTTGGATTACTTGATTTGCTGTAGAGAAGCAAAGACGAGGAAATCTTCACATAAGATGTTTTGTCTGATAAAAAATAAATAAAAAGACCAGACTTTACTGAACCAAATTAAAAATATTATTGATAGAAGAAGAGGAGACACGTCCACACAGCAGGATTTAGTCCTGTTAAATCCTGGTTTAGACCTGGTTTAGTCCTAGTTTAGTCCTGGCTTAGACCTGGTTTAGTCCTAGTTTAGTCCTATTTCAGACCTGGTTTAGACCTAGTTTAGACCTGGCTTAGACCTGGTTTAGTCCTGGTTTAGTCCTGGTTTGGACCTGTTTAGTCCTGGTTTAGTCCTGGTTTAGTCCTATTTCAGACCTAGTTTAGACTTGGCTTAGACCTGGTTTAGTCCTGGTTTGGACCTGTTTAGTCCTGGTTTAGTCCTATTTCAGACCTAGTTTAGACTTGGCTTAGACCTGGTTTAGTCCTGGTTTAGTCCTGGTTTGGACCTGTTTTAGTGTCCGGCAATGAGTGGAATTACCGGGAAAAAAAAAAAAAAAAAAAAAAAGGGGATATAGCCCAAAAACAGTAAAATCCCGCCATGTAATCCATTTATTTCAACAAAGTAAAAGAAATCCAATTACCACTCACTGAAACAGTAACTGTAACTGAATAGTTACTCATAATTTGTACTCTGATTATGTAACTCCAGTACATGTAATCTGTTACTCCCCAACACTGTAAACTGATGTATTAAAACTGTTTCCTGGTCGTAGTTGGCCCACAAAGCCTTGTAATATTATGAGCTAAATATCAGTTAAAGTAACTACGGTGACCAAAATTTCAAAATCAAAATTAGGACACTCTTGGTTTGGGGTGGTTGGTAATCAGTGGTAACGCTTTACAAAGTAGAGTAACATAACTACTTTTTGAGGTAAAATATTATAACGCACTACTACTGGAAATTTGGTAACGAAATGCAGTTCTTTTTTCAATTTGGCACAACGTTACTTTTCTGTGTACCCTCGTCCACCCTCGTCCATTCTCGTCTACCCTCGTCCGCCCTCCCCGCCCGCCCTCGCCCACCCTCGTCCATCCACGTCTACCCACGTCTACCCTCGTCCGCCCTCGCCCGCCCTCGTCCGCCTCGTCCATTCTCGTCTACCCTCGCCCGCCCTCGCCCGCCCTCCACCCTCGTCCATTCTCGTCTACCTCGCCCACCTCGCCCCTCGTCCATCCACGCTCGTCCCCTCGTCCGCCCTCGTCCGCCCTCGCCACCCGTCCATCTCGTCTACCCTCGCCCCCTCGCCCGCCCGCCCTCGCCCACCTCGTCCATTCTCGTCTACCCTCGCCCCCCCTCGTCCGCCTCGCCCACCCTCGTCCATTCTCGTCTACCCTCGTCCGCCCTCGCCCCCCGCCCCCTCGCCCACCCTCGTCCATTCCTCGTCTACCTCGCCCGCCCTCGTCCACCCTCGCCCACCCTCGTCCATTCTCGTCTACCCTCGTCCGCCCTCGCCCCGCCCTCGCCCACCTCGTCCATTCTCGTCTCTCGCCCTCGTCCGCCCTCGTCCCACCTCGTCCATTCTCGTCTACCCTCGCCCGCCCTCGCCCCCTCGTCCACCCTCGTCCACCCTCGTCCACCCTCGTCCACCCTCGTCCACCCTCGTCCACCCTCGTCCACCGTCACGTAGGGAGCGGGGGGGTCTGTTCTCGTTTGAGCAGAGCGGGCGCAGCGGACACCTACAGCCCCGATCCAGGCGTGAGGAGCTGTAAAGCCTTGAGACTTTTCTAGCTGACCCAGAGCCGGTCGTGGCGCACCGGAGGAAGCGACGATCCTCCTGTAACCGAGCGGCCGTCCCTCGCCCACCGAGTTGAATCCCCCGGGCAGACTGCGAGGACCCCACCCTTTTATCTCTGACTGGTTTCACATCCTCTGTAACTCTCTTCAAAGTTCTTTTCAACTCGGTCTTATGTCGATATTTAGCCTCAGATGGAGTTTACCACCAAAAAAATAACGAGTAACATAAAAAGTTACTATCCATAGAGGGTAACTAAGTAAAGTAAGGGATTACTTTTTAAAGAGGTAATGAGTAATGAGCAAACATTACCTTTTTAAAGTAATTTCCCCAACACTGCTGATAATTATAAAATTGTGAAAAGTGCATAATCAAGGAAAACTGTTCTGCACTCGGCCCATTCATGACAAACATGTGAGTCAGTATAGTCACATTTTCTTTGTGTTTTGGTCATTTAAAAGCAACTTTGCTGTATTTTACCTAAACAAATGTTTATTTAGTTTATGTCTTCACTGTTGGCAAAGATCAATCTGGTCAAAAATAGAGACACCTGGGACATTTCTTGAATAAAACTGTGACAAATCCCTGGTTTTGTATAAATCTTCTGTGCCTGTCCCGGGCAAACAGACGTCTGATCACTTTGTACATAACACATTTGTATCACTGCTGAGACAAATGCTGTTCTCAGTCTCTGCACTGGTGTCGGTTTTTACTGGGTATTAGTAAAAACTTAAAGCTTGTATCTGAATCTGTATCGAAACTGAAAAAGCTGGACTGGTGCATCTAATGTAATCTAATCAGATTTAATAATTTTGATCCATTATCTCAACTAACACATACTTGATAGGTAAAGCTTTTGCACAACTGTTTGTCTTTGGTCATGTTGACACCTTTTTACTGAAACCACGTTTATGTTCTTGATCTGCCTGACCACAAAAAGGAAATGTGCTTCTCAGTTTCACAGCACGTAGACCCACGCAGTTTGTTTTTAACTACTTCATCTGTGGTTAGATCTGCTTTGTAAAACCTGAGGCATTATACAACAGTCAGTGGCCACTTTTACATGATGTTTATCAATTCTGAATTAATTATTCTGAATTAAATAGTTTGGAATTAAAATATTCTCCTTAAAGTTTAAATGGAAATAATAATTCTGAATTGAGGTTTACATGGGAAACACATCCCGCTCACAAATCCAAAGAGACGTGGATAAAGTCTCCAAACCAGGATCATCCAGATCACGTCAGAACAGCGACACAATGAGCATGTGCCAAAGCACCCACATTATTTTAACAATAATAAACATTTACCTCAGGGGTGTCAAACTCAAATTCACAGGCACAGAGGCCAAAATTAAAAACTGGGACTAAATTGTGGGCCAAACTAAATATTTATTGAATTTTTATTTCATTTTCTCTTCTCTTTCAAGATTTGTAATGTTAAACCTTTTCTTATTAAAAATAAATGTTTAATAAAAGTTTTGCTTAAACACAGAATCCATAACAAGCAGAATATAAAAAACAAACAAACAAACAACATTTTAAATAAATAATGTCTATAGTCTATCTGTAGCCGGTGGGCAGATCTAATACAGATATGATCTCATGGGCCAAATATAATTATGTCACGGGCCAAATCTGGACCCCAGGGCCTGAATTTGACATGTCTGGTTTACATGATCAAGGAATAAATTAATTCAGAATAAACCACCCATTTGCGTCGGAATTAAGTTTAATTCCCAATAATCATTTTCATTACGAATTAAGTGTTTACATGCAAGCAGAATTTATTTTAATTCAGAATTAAAGCTCTCATGTAAACTTGGCGACTGTAGCCAAACAAACAAACAAACAAACTGGGCAACGGTGATTACATGTTTTTCTAAGCGAACCGTGATGACACAGTAAATGTGAGCAGGTTCATCCGGGTCACACGCGGTAAAATAAACAAAGAAAACGTGTGTGTGGAACATGGTGGAGAAATCAAGTGACAAGAACAAGATTGTGCAGTGGTCAGAGGACGAGTGGTCAACAGGATTTTTGCACAATGTAGGAGCTTTAATAACTCAATCCAAATCTAAACGCTGTCTCGATGTGTCCCCGTGTCCCCGTGTGCCCGTGTGCCCGTGTGCCCGTGTGCCCGTGCGCCGTACCTGGGCCCACTTGCGGTTGCGGCTGCTCATGTGCACGGCGGCGATGTGCTGGAAGAGCTGCTCGGCGGGGATGAGGTCGGGCAGGCGCGTGAGGAACTGGGCCATGTGGATGAAGTCCATGGAGGTGAGCACGTCCTGGTAGAGCCGCAGCAGCCCCAGCGCCGTGCGGAACAAGAACTCCTCCCCGTCCCGGCAGAACACGTCCCACACGCGGCACGCCAGGTCCAGGGGGAGGGGCTTACTGTACAGCGTGAAGATCCTGAGGCGTGACGGAAGGAAAGAGAAGACAGACATTTTTATATGATCTTTTTTAATTTTACATAAACAACAATTCAGATCATTGATAAAGTAAGTGGTGCCTGCGGTGAGAAAACAAAATCTGGAATTTCGACTCAAAAATAAGAAACTAAATCTGATTTGACCGAATGATGCAAGAAACACAAATGTTTAAATCATTTCATATTGTCATTAAAAGTTTTTGTCATTTTAGACTTTTGTTCACAACAGGAAGAAGAACCGAAAGTTTGTTACTTCAACAAAAAATTTTTACTCAAGAGTAAAAATATCTCGAAAGAAAATTACTCAGTACTTACTACTACAGCAACAACTGTTACTGCTACAACTACAACGACAACAACAGTTATGACTACAACTACTACAACTACTACAACCACAGCACTACGACAACTATTATTACTACAACTACAATAACCACTACTATAAGTTCTACTGTAAGAACTACTACAACAACAACAGTTACAACTACATCAACAACTACTACTACTACAAAACTACAACAATTACAACAACTGCTACTACTACAACAGCAACAACAGCAACAACTACTACTACTACTACTACAGGAACTACAACAGAAACTGTTACAATTACTACAACTACTTCAGCAACTACTATTGCTACAACAACTACAACAAAAATTATTACTACAACTATAAGAACTACTACTACTACAACTACTATTACTACAACAACTACAACAAAAACTATTACTACAACTATAAGAACTACTACTACTACAAGTACTATTACTACAACAACTACTACTACAACAACTACTACACAACTTTAAAAATTACTACTACTACAAGTACTATTACTACAACAACTACTACAACTGCAACAACTGCTACTACTACAACTACAACAACAGCAACTACAACAACTGCTATTACTACTACAACTACAACTACTACTACTACTAGAATAACAAAAACTACTACAACAGCAACAACAGCAACAACTACTACTACTACTACTACTACTACTACTACTACTACTACTACTACTACAGGAACTACAACAGAAACTGTTACAACTACTACAACTACTTCAGCAACTACTATTACTACAACAACTACAACAAAAACTATTACTACAACTATAAGAACTACTACTACTACAAGTACTATTACTGCAACAACTACAACAACTACTACACAACTTTAAAAATTACTACTACTACAAGTACTATTACTACAACAACTACTACTACAACTGCAACAACTGCTACTACTACAACTACAACAACTACTACAACAGCAACTACAACAACTGCTATTACTACTACAACTACAACTACTACTAGAATAACAAAAACTACTACAACAACAACTGTTACTATTACAACAACAACTACTACTATGACTACTACTACTAGAATAACAAAAAACTACCACAACAACTACTATTACTACAACTACAACAACTACAACAACTACTATTACAACTACTACAACAACTACTGCAACAACAACTACTACAACAACCAGAACTACTACTACGAATACAAGAACTACAACTGTTACTATTACAACAACTACAACAGGAACTACAACAACTGCTAGTAATACTACAACTACCACTACAACTACTACTACTACTACTACTAGTAGATTTCCAGATTTCCCTCTCTGAGCTGCAGCGGCTGCACTAGCACTGACTTTGTGCATGTTTGGCTGCAGGTTCTGGGGTTCAAGTTGTGACCATATTTCAACTTTGAAACACAAACCCGAGTCTCTGCTTAATCTCACAGCAAATTATAGCAAACATTTTGGGTCAGTTGTTGTCAGGAAAAGCTATATTTGATCTGTTTAACACATATCCTGGTCGTGTTCATGGAAATTAAAATTTAAAATCTTACTTTCAGTTCTTTTAAGTAACACTTTACCCAGTAACTTTAAATACAGAAAATGCAATCATCTAAAAAAAGCCCCAGCGTCCTGTTTCCTTGAACTCTAACAACAGTGGGCCAAATGTCACTTTCGCAGGTGTGGGTAGAATAGTACACAAATGGAAACTACAAACTATACTGGAAATAAAATGTCTTCATATTTCTCTGCTGTAATGGAGCAATCTGCCCGAGGACCACCGGCTACTCACCAGTCGATTAAATAAATATCAGGGGTCAAGTTGTTTTTCTTGAAATGTGCAAAAAGCTTTGGTAGGTTTTCCTCAAAGAACACTTCAAACGCTGCAAAATAAGTCAGCATCTGCGAAGACAAAAGAGAAAGAAAGAGAGCGGGGCTTTAGTGTGGTTTGTGAAGCGAGCGTTAGAAGCGAGCGTCAGTGCACCGACAAGGCTGTGGTCGACTCTGAAGAAGGCCATCTGACACGGCTTGTTGAGCAGGTTGGCAAACGCGATGAAGGCGTCGGCTGTGTCCAGGTTCAGGATCAGCACGGCCGCGATGAACGACATTCCCTGCACCTGCAACACAAACACACACAAAAACAAACACACGCACAGTTAGGGCGATCGGACATACAATTGTGTTTTATACTAAATTGGGCCTAGTGTCGTGTAAAAACATCAGTGGGACCAAGTCGTTGTTCTGCAGGTCTCAAGTACCGTATTTTCCGGGCTATTAGACGAGCTCTTAAGCCTCTAACTCACAGGTGTCAAACATACGGCCCAGGAGGCCAGATCCGGCCCTCCAAGACCTTTAATGTGGCCCTTGGCTGATTTTCTACTAAAATATTTTTATTATATTTTCTATTAAAATATTGTTAATTTTCTGTGGTGTTTATCACAGCAGCGTCTCCAGCGTCTCTGTACGTGGCCCCTCCCACCAGAGCAGCACAAATGAAGACTTGTCTCTTTCCAAACGCTCTTAAAGGACGATCGTTTTGACTGTTGACCGTGACACCCTCATCAGAAAAATGTCAAAAATGAGAAAAGTGGAGCCGAGTGCAGAATTTTCCAAGAAAAAATTACTTATTCCTATTTGCATACAAGTTAAAGTTAAAACTTTGTGTTGAAATTGGATTTTCCTTAAAGTTTCAGGTTGTTTATAATATTATAATATTTTGTAAAAGAAAGAGTTCATCAATTAAAAAAGATTTCTGTAATAGATTTGTGTTTCTCTGCACAAATATTTGAACTTATTGTTATTTTTGGGGTTTATATGACATGAGTTTTCTGATCCGGACACTTTGGAATCAAAGTCGGTTGGATACGGCCCCCGGACCAAAATGAGTTTGACACCCCTGCACTAACTGCATGAAAAAACGACTGCGCGCCCAACAATCCGGAGCGCCCCAGACACGAATCCACTCGGGTGTCCCAGTACGACTACAAAGCCGCAACACCCACAGAACACGTAAACACACACGGAGCAGACAGCGACCGCACAGCGAAACACACCCACAGACACACTCATCACTCCACGCCGACGAGGAACGGAACGGAGAAACGAACCGAAAAAGCGAGCGCGATGCCAATCTGAGTCACAACTGAACAATTTAGTCACTGCGACCGATCCAGCGTTCCCAGACAGCAGCCTCCCTACACGCCACCACTGAACAAAGCCCAGAGTCACCGTGAACGAACAAACAACAAAACCACTCACGCATCACACTGTTGTGTTTCCTTTAAAGTCCCACGCGGTTTATTTGTGAAAAAAGTTCAAAAATAGACCATTTAATGACTTAGCGACTAATAGTGCAGAAAATACGATAATTGATTATTGGGGGGGGTACTCCAAAATCATTTAACAAGTCCAAGCTTATCCTAAAATCCTGAGCTTGGGCCACATTTACACATAGTTGAGAAAGGAATATTTCCCTCCCTTCATTTTCCAAAATAACATCGTGCACGCTAGACAGGCTGGCGAAACCTAGTGCCTCTGCTCAATTTCATTTCTCTCCAGCGTCTACATCAGGAATCAGAATACACTAGACCAGCCACGTCCAACTCAGGCTCAGGGGCCAAATTTGGCCCGCTATATAATTATATTTGGCCCGTGAGATCATATCAAATCTGTATTAGAGCTGCCCGCTGACTACAGATAGACAATAGACACATTATTTAAAATGTTGGGTAACACTTTAGATTAGGGACCACAGAATATACACATAATTAACATAATTAATAGCTAGTAGGGATGGGCATTCGATGAAATTTTCTTAATCGATCGTCGGAAGAATTAATGATCGATTATCGATTAATCATTAACGTTTTTATATTAAAATGATCATCATTATTATTACTATCTGCACTACTAATCTGCATAAATAAATTCAACTTCACGACATATAAACTGTAACGACTCTAGAGCCACATCAGCCCGTTTGACATTATAATGTGTTTAATTCAGTTTTGTGCAACTTTCACAGAAACAAAACTTAAAACCACATCACTAATTTGCATAAACTAAGAGAAGATAAAACTCCAGCTCTTGTGTCGCTGATGTGGTTCAATTTCTGTCAGATTAAAAGACTCAGGTGAATACAGGTTAGTGTGACCAGATTTGTGTTTGTCAAAACCAGGACAGCGTACGGGGGGAGGGGGGGGCGGGGCCTCGTCATCCACATTGAGCGACTCTCACCTGGAAAAACTTTTTCCCACTGGACACAGAAACATATGTGCTGCTTTATCCACTGTGCACATGGACTCACACTTGTCCCGAACGCAACAGAAAGTGTGGAATTTCTTGTACAAATCATCGTTAAATCCACATTTGTGCTTCGGTTCGTTACAGACTGACCCACTGTTTGTGTCTCGCTCCTTCTGATGCAGAGACACATGTACACACCTGTTTGGTCACGACACACACAGCAACATACATTCGGTTTGTCGATTAAAATGAACGTAATCGATGAAATTCTTAATGATCACTTATCGATTAATCGACTAATCATGCCCATCCCTAATAGCTAGTGATGCATAGTAAGTGCTTAATTACATCTTTGTTAATATTTATAAAGTACTTTTAATGCATTTTTGTCTAAGGCCGTATTTTGCAAGTACTAACCCATTAACTATTATCTTCCCATTACAGTAGTGGAGATCACAACTTGATGTTTTTGTGCAAACAGTGAAATCTTAATAAGTGTTTGATTAATACCAACTAACAGCTCATTAACATACCAATTACCACTTAGTTTAGTCTATTAATACGTGGTCCCTAAACTAAAGTGTCACCAAATGTTATTATTTTATATTCAATGTTTAAGTAAAACTATTATTAAACATTTATTTTAATAAGAAAAGAAGAGAAGAGAGATGCAGATGTTGTTAAAATATGAATGAATGAATTTTCAATAGATATTTAATCTGGCCCACGACTTAGTCCCAGTTTTTAATTTTAGCCCTCTGTGAATTTGAGTTTGACACCCCTGCACTAGACGGTTCGCAAAAAACCCCAGAAGTGCGAGTTCGGGCACCAGCCAATCAGCGAAGAGACATATTCTGTGTTGGCAACGATTCCCGAGATCGAGGATTTAAAAACGCAATAAAGAGAATGTTTGGTGAATTTCATCAAGGGGAAAGACGTTATTGTCCTTCTTCCTACGGGATTTGGGAAAAGCTTAATATACCAGTTAGTCCCGTTAGCGGCGCATTACATACGTCACGACCAAACAGCAGCGATTGGTTAAATAAAAAAAGTACCCGTCTACTGTCGAGCGAACGAATCCTAATGCTGCGAGGTCAGACGGTTTCTAAAAAGTGAAACCAGCTGATAAATCAGGCTGCCTCAAAGATGTTTTTAATGTGGTTTTAATGCATTTATTTTGTGGCAAGTAAGAGATTTATGTTCTTGTACAATGGAACATGTAACATCAGTGAAATCATAATAGAAACTAGGGCTGGGGATCATTAAGAAGTTGCCGATACGATACACACCTCGATACACAGGCCACGATACGATCCATATCTCGATACGGTGCACTTTCGATTTGATACGAGATATTTCAAATCGATTCGATACGGTTCAATAAAAAATAAAGGCTAAATCGTGGCTGTGATACTAAAAGTCTTTGTTAAACCACTTCTTCTTGTGCAAAGTTCATATGAAACACAAACATTTTAATCATCAAAACAGTGAAAATGTCAAATGTGTCGCATAAATGAGTTTCCTTTCACTCCACAAGCCACAAAACTGTAGCTCTGTAATAAAATAATTTAGTAAAACACACGTAAAAATACTCTTGCTGATATATCGATACAGTAGCCCACGATATCGATACTGTATCATCACATTAAACGATACGATATATCGATATTCCGATATTTTTGCACACCCCTAATAGAAACCACAAGCAAAAGAAAGAAAACTTATTTAATTCCGTCCCCAAATAACACTGTCCTGTAGAAGACGGTGACGTCAACAGCTGGATAAACTATATTTACTCTCAGCTTCCGCTCGAGTGACTGAGTGGAAAGTTTCACAGTGATGTTACAACAAGAAGCTGCTGGTCTGGACTTCCCCAAAGTAAACACGAAGAGGCAGAAAACACAATCGTAGGAAGAGAGAATATGAAACCACAGACCACATCAGCGCTTTAATTAGTCCCGCTGACCACATGAACGCTTTGGTCAGTGTGGGGTTGTGAAAGTTCGGCCGCATCACGTGTGACACTTACGTAGCCCACGTCCGGCCTGTAACAGGTGTAGGCTCCCAGGATGCTGTGCAGAACGTCGTGGTAGGGCCCGCCCTGAACAAAAACAACACACGAGTAATGTGAACTACAGATGACACTTTAACCACAAAAGGACAAATTACTGCCTGATGATTAGACTTAAACTTAGACAAACTTTATTGATCCACAAGGAAAATGATTTGGATACAGGAGCTCACACAATGATCTATAACTGCTCCACGTCCAGTGTTGGGGAGTAACAGATTACAACTGTATTCAGTTACAGTTACTGTTTCACTGAGTGGTAATTGGATTACAGTTACTTTGTTGAAATAAATGGATTACACGGCGGGATTTTCCTGTTTTCACATTTTGGGCAATATCCCTCTTTTTTTTTTTTTTTTTTTTTTCGTTAATTCCACTCATTGCTGGACACTAAACCAGGTCTAAACCAGGACTAAACCAGGACTAAACCAGGTCTAAACCAGGACTAAACCAGGACTAAACCAGGACTAAACCAGGTCTAAACCAGGTCTAAACAGGACTAAACCAGGACTAAACCAGGACTAAACCAGGACTAAACCAGGTCTAAACCAGGTCTAAACCAGGACTAAAACCAGGTCTAAACCAGGACTAAACCAGGTCTAAAACCAGGACTAAAACCAGGTCTAAACCAGGACTAAACCAGGACTAAACCAGGTAAACCAGGTCTAAACCAGGACTAAACCAGGTCTAAACCAGGACTAACCAGGACTAAACCAGGACTAAACCAGGACTAACCAGGTCTAAAACAGGTCTAAACCAGGACTAAACCAGACTAAACCAGGACTAAACCAGGTCTAAACCAGGACTAAACCAGGACTAAACCAGGTCTAAACCAGGTCTAAACCAGGACTAAACCAGGACTAAACCAGGTCTAAAACCAGGACTAAACCAGGTCTAAACCAGGACTAAACCAGGTCTAAACCAGGTCTAAACCCAGTCTAAAAGTCTAAAACCAGGACTAAACCAGGTCTAAAACCAGGTAAACCAGTAAACAGGACTCCCAGGTCTAAACCCAGGTCTAAACCAGGTCTAAAACCAGGACTAAAACCAGGACTAAACCAGGTCTAAAACCAGGACTAAACCAGGTCTAAAACCAGGTCTAAACCCAGGTCTAAACCCAGGTCTAAAACCAGGACTAAACCAGGTCTAAAACCAGGACTAAAACCAGGTCTAAACTAAACCCAGGTCTAAACCCAGGTCTAAACCCAGGTCTAAAACCAGGACTAAAACCAGGACTAAACCAGGTCTAAAACCAGGACTAAACCAGGTCTAAACCCAGGTCTAAAACCAGGACTAAACCAGGTCTAAAACCAGGACTAAAACCAGGTCTAAACCAGGACTAAAACCAGGACTAAACCAGGACTAAACCAGGACTAAACCCAGGTCTAAACCAGGACTAAAACCAGGACTAAACCAGGACTAAACCAGGACTAAACCCAGGTCTAAACCAGGACTAAAACCAGGACTAAACCAGGACTAAACCAGGATTTAACAGGACTAAATCATGCTGCGTGGACGTGTTTCCTCTTCTTCTATCAATAATATTTTTAATCTGGTTCAGTAAAGTCTGGTCTTTTTTATTTTCTTTTATCAGACAAAACTTCTCATGTGAAGATTTCCTCGTCTTTGCTTCTCTACAGCAAATCAAGTAATCCAAAGTATTCAGATTACATTACTCACTTTAAGTAATTTAATGGATTCCGTTACAAACTACATTTTGGTGTGTGTAATCTGTAATCTGTAGGGGATTTTCTGATGTTCTGTGTGAGAATTTGGGGGTCAAAATGTAAAATTCACCTACAGCCTTTATTTATTTTACAAAAAAGTAGGGATGTAACAATAGCTGAAATATCGTGATATCGTATCGTCAAAGTTCTCAGAATAATATCGTGGACCATCACAATATATCGAATTACAAGTGTCTTTGCTTAAATGAAGAGTTATGGTGCAGGAATAACAAAAAAACAGAGAGGGAACTACATAGACCATGATCCTTTGCTCCATTTCAGTGCAGATGACAAGAAGAAATAACAGTTCTAACACTTTTAAGTCTTAGTTCATTGGATTAAGTCTTGTCAAGGTGTTTTTTCTCACAGTTTTGTCTGTTAAAAAAAAATAAAAAATCCTATTCATAATTTAGATCTTAACAGTTTCGCTCCTGTAACTCGAGCTTCATTTGAGCGGCGTCGCTGAACCCTGTGGGTGACGTCACACTCGCTCAGTCCACTTGGCACAACCTGAACCTTGGGGATTAATAAAGTATTATCTATCTAAACATATGACCTCTTTGTGTAGCTCAGTGTTTTTATTTGCTTTGTCCCTGATAAATAAACTAAATAAACAAAACTAAACATCACAATATAATATAATAACAGAGTAAAACATATCAATGGAATAATACATTCTAAATAAGAAGCAAGGAAAAGAGCAAGAGACAAGTTTCAAATAAAACATAATTATAGTAATATAATTATCATATTATTTAAGTAATAAAACAATGTCAACAGTTGTAGGGAGTATTATAGTATGAATTTAGTCCTGTTTCTCACTGTTTGAGTGGAGCTGTGATGAGGAGAGAACTTTTTACCTGCTGAAAAATACACAGCTGTGGAAACGTTCTGGAGATGTCCAACTTAATCAGCTCCAGACTGGACTCTCGGTCTGAAGAACCAGCGTCTGCAACACACAAAATATATTAGACCATTTACTTTTAACGAGGGCTGTGCCAAAAACACAAAGATCATTTCACGTAGTTGAGATTGCAATCTCCTTCATTTAAAAAAAGCAGCCTGAGCTCGTGATGGTCAAACGAGTCGATACGTCGACACGTGTCGAGTTCAGAGAGTGACGCCGGTGTCGAGACGTGTCTCTGTGTGCATCACTTTAAGAAAAGTCATGTGACCGATACATCCACTGTGTCATTTTGTGTTGTTCGTGTCAGGAGCACGAAGCTCAAATCTGTCACAGTGTTTCTGTTCATCACAGAAATAGAGGAACAGAAGAACACAGACCTGATCTGTTCAGGCCTGTTGTTTTGATCAGTCCCAAGTGGAACTCATCACAAACTGAACAACAAAACTTTACTGAAAAAAAATGTTTGAAAATGTTGAAGAAATTTTTTTTTATATAATTTTACTATAATTTTCACAACCTCATTTTGTATCATGTATATGCCTAATTTACACTACTTTAAAGTACTTAGTACTTTATACTACTTTAAAATAGTTAATACTTTATACTACTTTAAAGTACTTAGTACTTTATACTACTTTGTACAACAGGCGGTGATTTGCTTTAATGAGTCACCTTCTTGGTCAGTTCTTCCATTTGTTAAATATCAGAGCATCTGTTATAAATGAGTGTTCATGTGTCTGAATGAACGAGCTCTTCTGCACCTTTTCTGCAGTGACGTCTTAGCATTACTTTTACTAAATTCTTCAATATCAAATAGTTGAATGCCGTTGTTTGTACCGTCAGTGCCGTTCTCCGGCTCAGGGGCAGGGGAGCTCCTCCACTTCTCCTTGGCCCGGGACAGGCAGATGTTAAACAGCTCTGTGCACACAAAGACACACAGAGATTCAAGTTAAAGCAGAGAATGTAAAGATGGAGAGATTAAAAAAAAAAAAAAAGGTTTACAGAGCTCCTTCTCCCTGCTGCAGACTTCTGTGCTCAGATTGTGTCTGAGCTGTGCACTCTACTGCCCTCTGCTGGACAAAACTTGAACTGCTGCATTAGTTTTACATGTACAAAAACTATTTACGAAGTGTCCGAACAACTCAAAATGTGTTGGACATGTTCACAGATGTGGACGCCAGGTCCCAGGAAGCTACACAACCTGGTACCACTTCTTCTGCAGTTTCACCTTACTTCTACATAGGGCTGTGCCAAAAATCAAAGGATTGATGAACTGTGATCTCTATTTAGGTCGATCTCAGTGATAAGACACGCACGTTTTAATCGACAGGTCAAGAGCCAATCATGTGGAGCTGACAAGGATTTACGCTTTTGTTTAGGGAAAAAGCACCTGAGCCACAGTGCGTCCGTTTGTCTCCACACATGTTCACAAGTTTTGCTCCTCACCCTTTCTCCTCTCTTTACTTATTTTCATTATAATCCAAGTTATGGAAAGCAAACGACTATTTTCTCACAGTTTATGACCTTATTTAGTGTTTATGCTGCTTTTAGGCTTAATATATTGTACAAACACTTTCTAAACTTTCCGTGTGGATCGCTACATACAGTAATAATCAGTCCTGTCAACACGAATTAAACGACACTCTCTGTATCCTTTAAAAGCTCCGAGCACAGACTAAAAGCAGAGCGACGGTGATGAGAGAGCAGTGTTTAAGGTTCAGACGTAAAGCTTTTGTCGAGGAGTGAGTGAGTGAGACACAGAGCTTCACTCAACCTCCTGTAATGCTCCCGCAGCTTCTCAAAACACCTCCCCCAGGCTGCACGAGGACATTAAACCCCTCTCTTCTCTCACATCTCTTTCTCTCTGTATCTTCCGGTGCAGTAAATCCAGTGGAGCGTGTCGACTGTAATGGGAGCACTCGTCCTCTCCGCTGCCCTCCCCCTCCCCTTTCTCTTCTGCGGAACTTCCGGTTAATGCTTTTCTGTGGCAAAATGTGTGTGTAAATGTCTCACGTCATTCTCCAGCAGCTTCATAAATCTGCCCCCATCGACAAATCTTCAACCGACGAGCTCCACGAAGGATAAACGTGCTTCCAGAAAGACGAAAACCGACGCATTAGTGAAATACTGAGCAAAACTAACAAGATGGTCATGAATAAAACATAAGTAACTTCTGAACTCAGACTGATTCCAGAATTAAAATTAAAAATCGGATTTCACGGTGTCGATATTCGCATAGATCGATAGATTTGAGCAGTTCGAATGCGAGAGAGACATCTCTAGGACCATAGTGTTAGTTTTAGGGGTGTAACGATATCCAAGTCTCAAGATACGATATCGTCACGGTACAGTGTTTATTGCGATATCGTGGGAAAGATCACGATATGGTGGGGAGGCTCACGATTAGGGATGTAACAATATACAAATCTCTCTGTACGATATTTTCACGATTTACATCTCACAGTACGATATTTATGAACAACTAAAACTGTGAATATGCTCCTTTTTCCTCTTAACTCTTTCCCCCCTGGACTTGTACTAGGAACAACCCAGACATATGTTACTAGTTCTGCCCATAGAGCATAACTGCATAAAAGAAAACAGACTTCCACGAGTGATTATAAATGATTTTTACACTCATGAACTTAATTGTAACACAGACATATTTGTATCTCTGGAAACCTTAGACTCTGAACTCTTCATTTATGGATGTTTAAATGTGATTCAACTCATTTATAGGTTTATAACAGCTCACTGAAAATGAGAGTTTACCTGGTCAGGTGCAAGCTCGAAAACAAAAAACTACATTCAGCATCTGATATCTGCATGTTCTGAGTACTATATTCATAAAAAAAATATATATATATATATAATATATATATATATATTATATAATATACTTTGTCAAAGTATTTAAACAGATTTCATATCACCAGATACAGTAGAGCCAAGTGTGCACCTGTTTTTACCTGTTGTTCACCTGTGTGCACCTAATTCATTTTTTCCATTTAGCTTATTCAACTTATTTAATTTATTCAACTCATTTAGCTTATTATAATATAATAATATAATAATAAAACTCTTCCCCGTCAGTGTGTGTCCAGTATTTGTCATCTTGGCTTACTTTCTCGTGCACAGAGCTCCACATAAACGTTTTTTCTGTAGCGATTCTGTCAAACATCGTATGCATCTTGGAAAAAAAGACTCGCCTGAGCAACATCCAGATTTCAGGGCAGTTTTGGTTCATAATCGAGTATAAAGCTCAGATAGTTTGTTTGGACATCGCAGGACTCCACACAGACGCATCAGCGACATTCTCATCTTCGTAAGTTTCACTCTGTCGCTGTTTTCCACTTTATAATCAACTTCATCATCACTTTGAAATCTATAAAAGTCACTTTCTCTAAACTTATCCATAAAACACGTCCGCTCCTCATTATTTCTAAAACTGTGCGCCGCGATCTTTCCATTGCTCGTGTTTCGTGTTGTGTTTTTTCCGGAAGCTACCATCGTCACTACTTCGATTAACTTCGGAAAAAATCGGCGAAAACATATCCTTGAATCCTATTGGTCAGTCTAGTGTGGGTTGTAGTGGCTCCACCTATCACAGTCTCTGTTTAAATGTGAAAAACCGAGCCATTTTCTAAGGTCGTCAAATCACGTCTTTAGTGAAACAGCGGAGGAGACAAAAGACGTCATTAAGGAAACAGGGGGGTCGTCAAATGTCGTCTTCATGGGGGAAAGAGTTAAAATGCCTTGACAAGACTTAATCCAAAGAACCAAGACTTAAAAGTGTTAGAACTGTTATTTCTTCTTGTCGTCTGCACTGAAATGGAGCAAAGGATCATGGTCTATGTAGTTCTCGATGTCTTTTTTTTTTCTATTTCTGCACCATAACTCTTCATTTAAGCAAAGAGACTTGTGATGGTCCACGATATTATTGTGAGAACTTTGACGATACGATTTCACAAAATTTCGGTTATTCTGACTAGTTAGTTTTGTTCAGTGTGTCACTAATGCGTCGTCGTCGTTTGTCTTGAAGTTTTCGTCTTTCTTCTCTTGATAGTTGTGGACAAATTGTTCATGTTTATCCTTTGCGGAGCTTGTTGGTTGAAGATTTGGCGACGGGGCAGATTTACGAAGCTGCTGGAGAAAACGACAGGCATTTCCAAAGATATTTTGCCACAGAAAACCATTAACCGAACGTTCCGCAAAACCTACGGCGCGGCACTTATGGTCGTTGTGAAGAAGGTCTATAGCTTTAGAACGATCTTGAGCTGTAGCAGAACAAATGTAAGAACACAGAGACTAGTATACGCCCATGGACCTATGTGTAGAACACCCCCAGCATGATTCTTTTTACCGAGCTTATAACACTTATCCCACTCTGACACTACTTCCCATTTCAAACTATTCATTTAAACTAGTTCCATTTCCTACGTTAAACTAACACAGTTCCTGTTAAGGCCGTGAGTTTTTACCGTGGGTGATGTTGAGGTCGTTGCCCACAGCCAGGCTCCACACTTTGCCCCTGACACTGGGAGGGATGCCCTGCCACCACAGGTCCCTGACGCGCCGAGAAGTGCACCTGCACCAACAACCACAGTGCAGAGTTTAGTCACGTCGCTCTTCACTTTCTCTTTCTCACTCTCCTTTTCTTTCTCTACCCCCCTCCTCCTCCTCCTCCTCCTCTCTCCCGTCCCCTAGCCATCTCTCTTTTCCTTTCTCTCCCCTTTCCTTCCTCTTCTCTTGCTCACTCGCTCCATCTTTCTCCACATCTATCTCTCTATCTCTCTCTTTCTCCCAATCTCTCTCTCTGTTCTCCTCTTTCTCCCAATCACTCTCTCTCTCTCATCTCTTCTCCCAATCTCTCTCTCTTTCTCATCCATTCTCTCTATCTCTCCAGTCTCTCCCAGTCTCTCCATCTTTCTCCCAGTCTCTCCATCTTTCTCCCAGTCTCTCCATCTTTCTCCCAGTCTCTCCATCTTTCTCCCAGTCTCTCCATCTTTCTCCCAGTCTCTCCATCTTTCTCCCAGTCTATCTCTCTCTCTATCTTTCTCCCAGTCTCTCCATCTTTCTCCCAATTTCTCACTCTCTCTCTGTCTCTCTTTCTCCCAATCTCTTTCTCACTCCATCTTTCTCTTTCTCCCGATCTTTCTCTTTCTCTCTCTCTCTCTCAATCTCTCTCTGATCTTTCTCCCAGTCCATCTTTCTCCATCTCTTCTCCAGTCTCTCCATCTTTCTCCCAGTCTCTCCATCTTTCTCCCAGTCTCTCTCTCTCCCTCCCAATCTCTCTTTCTCACTCCATCTTTCTCTTTCTCCCAATTTCTCACTCTCTCTGTCTTTCTCTTTCTCCCAATCTCTTTCTCACTCCATCTTTCTCTTTCTCCCGATCTTTCTCTTTCTATCTCTTTCTCCCAAACTCTTTCTGATCTTTCTCCCAGTCTCTCCATCTTTCTCCCAGTCTCTCCATCTTTCTCCCAGTCTCTCCATCTTTCTCCCAGTCTCTCCATCTTTCTCCCAGTCTCCTCCCAGTCTCCATCTTTCATCTTTCTCCCAGTCTCTCTCATCTTTCTCCCAATCTCTCCATCTTTCTTTTCTCCCCTCTCTCTTCTCCAATCTCTTCTCCATCTTTCTCCCAGTCTCTCTCTCCCTCCCAATCTCTCTTTCTCACTCCATCTTTCTCTTTCTCCCAATTTCTCACTCTCTCTGTCTTTCTCTTTCTCCCAATCTCTTTCTCACTCCATCTTTCTCCCGATCTTTCTCTTCTATCTCTTTCTCCCAAACTCTTTCTGATCTTTCTCCCAGTCTCTCCATCTTTCTCCCAGTCTCTCTTTCTCACTCCATCTTTCTTTCTCTCAATCTCTCTCTCTCTCTCTGTTCCACCTTGTGATGTCATGTGGTAATACAGGAAGTGTTTTTAAACTCCACACATCTTCACTAGAATCACGTGGATAATTTCAGCTCTGGAATTTCCAATTTCTACTGAACTATGAATTTCAATCAATTTAAAGTTTCACAGTTTGTGATTTATTTGATTTCATAGTTTTGTTTCCATTCTAGTTCAGCTTTTTGGAACTGTAAGAGATGTAATTCACCAACACGTGACCCTTTTTTATCCAATCCAAATATAAACACTTGGAGAAAATCTCACAAGATTATTTTTCTCTTGTGGCACGATCCTGAAGCAATTTTGTTTCTCGAGATCTTGTACCGTCTCTATATCACCTGGCAGAATAAATACTGAATTCTAGACCGTGTCTGGTCCGTCTCTTACATGGCGCTCCAGTTGGGCAGGATCTCCTGGTTCCAGGTTTGAGCCGCGCTGCCGATGCTCTCCTCCAGTTTACACCGGTCCTCCAGCTGCTTCTTCCTCTTCTGAGCCTCCTTCAGCTCTGCAAAGGATTGTGGAGGAAGAAGAGAGTTAAAAAAATGACATAAGGTCCACAATAATATACAGTGTTCCATAGTATCAGAATCAAGTTTGGAATTTTAGCGTCATGACACTAGAGGAGGCTGTAGAAAATTTAAAGAGCCATGAAACACCCTCCCGAAGCTTTACTCCTCTCCTAAGCAAAATATTAAACATCGTCCAGAGTGGATGGTGCCCGGCGGGTTGAATGATTGACAGCCGTCTGACAGCCACAACAACCCAACACGGCGCAGACCGGTGAGCTCTGGACTTTGAAACAGAGCGGACACCTCAGATCACGCCGTTTCTCTTTTCTCCAGACACGGTGGGACATGGTGGTGCCGGGTCTGGGCTGAGGGGGGCTCCTCACGTCCCGCCTGTAGACGCATGTGTCTGCGCTCGTCACGTAATAACCTGCATCTGACTCATCTGCGCTGTTAGTCCAACCTGAAAATTCAAATATCCTGACCACAGCTGATCCTTAAGAGGCCGATACAGACACGACTTTGACCCAAAAGTCCAACTTTTAGCAAATATGCACTAAAATAAGGCCAGGGATAGATATACACTTCTATTTCAGACCAATTTTCACAGATAATCAGGAGAAAAAAAGTGATTTTGGTGTTTAGTGGCTCATTTAAATAAGCAATCTCTAATATTTATCTGAAACTACGGTACAATGTTCAGCTGGTGCCATCTGTTTTTCATGACTAAAGTTACACAAAAGTTGATTTAATGGATGTTTTTTCTAGAACTGAATTCATCCATCCATTTTCTTCTGCTTTATCTGGGGCCAGGTCAAGGGGACAGCAGTCTGAGACCTCCCCCTCCACACACACTTCCTCCAGCCCAGAGACACAGTCCCTCCAGCGTGTCCTGAGTCTTCCTCGGGGCCTCCTCCTGGTGGAACATGCCCATAACACTTCTCCAGAGAGGCGTCCAGGAGGCTTTCGGAACAGATGCCCTCCCTTCAGCTGTTCTTCTAGACGTGGAGGAGCAGCAACTCTACTCCAAGCTCCTCCAGTGTGACTGAGCTCCTCACTCTATCTCTAAGGGAGCGTCCAGACACTCTGCGGAGGAAACTCATTTCGAGCGCTTGTATCCGTGATCTCGTTCTTTCGGTCATTACCCAGAGCTCATGACCACAGGTGAGGGGAAGAACGAAGACTGACGGTAAATCGAGAGCTTTGACTTTCGACTCTTGAGTGGAGACAAAACACTGACCTCTCTTCTTTGCCTGAGCCACCATCTCCTCATACTGCTGCCGATGCTTCTGCGCCTCCTCCGCTGGTTTGGCTGGTAAGTTACTGAAACAGAAAAGACACAAACCCTAAGTGCAAAGTTTTACTCAGAGCAGATTTTATTTTTTTTTTAAGTTAATAAGTGTTGAAGCTTAGGAAATGGGCCCAGTCAAGCAGAAGTAAACAACAAGGCCAAAAATTCAAGTTAATGCATCTGATATAAAAATGTATTGAACAGATACATATGTACTCTAGTTTATGAAACTGTTGACCTTTTTTCTGTACCATTTTTGGTTCTAAAGTTCCATACGTTTTAAACAGACCATGTATGAAACATGGAACAAAAATTATTTCCCAAATTTCAAAGACCTGCAAAAATCATGTAAATAAATGGATGTATTTCATCATATCTTGTGTGTTATTCCATCTTTGAACTTTTGATGAAGGGACATGAATTAAAAAAAAAAAAAAAAAAAAAAAAGTATTTAAAATGATAAAAATTTGCTTGGAAGGACTGACATATTTTATAGAAATAGTTTTCCTTTCATTTTGAAGTAATATTAAAGTATTCAGAAGAAAAAAGCGACAAATGATGTAAAATCCTGCACCTTCTACTTGTTTGTACAATTTTCCCTCCGTTACTTTTCCCTCCGTTACCATGAACTTTCTTAATAAAAAATCTCATGAGTCAAAAAGTAAGAGGTTTTTTCAACCTAATCTTGTACCATATGGTAGAAAACTATATGAAGCAAATATTCAAACCAGTTTGTTAAGGATATGTAAGTGAGAACCAAGAGTTATCACTGTTTGGATTTATTGCCCAAAAAGTGCTGCATATTTCATTCCCTCCGTTACCGACATGAGTTTTTACATTTTTTTGTCAACAACTTGAAAGAATATCACAGGTTTAACTTGACCCTGTTGGAGTGTAAATCTTTCCTACATTCTGATACTTTACTTATTTCAATAGTTCCTCTAGTTTCTGAATAAGAGACATTTGAATGTATAAAACCTGCCCGCTTCCCTCCGTTACCGCTTAACCAGACCCAAAATGTTTTTACTATACCCAAAAGAATCATAATATAATGTAGTTTATTTATGTATTTAGTCTAAAGTTGATTTTTGCAATAATAAATCCACTTTAAATGTACGTTTCTGCATTTCTCCAGGATCACCCGTAGAATTTACATTTACTGCATTTATGTACCGACTGGTGATACAAGTACCTTTAACGGCCAGTAGGTGGCATAAGTTAGACATGGAAACATTTGTGTAGCAACCAGAGAAGAGTCATGTGCACCGGATAAACACACCGCACGCACGCTCATGTTTGTGTGTCAGTGAGGTCAACATGAAACTTTTAGCAGCTCTTGTGCATGAGGGAAATGGACAGTGGAAGTGCGTGTTTGGGCTGCAACGTTAAATCGAAATCGTATCGAAATCGCAATTTGAATTAAATCGCAAAGGCTGCAGTTTTTGAAGTACAATAATTTCCTCCACAAAAAAATAAAAATAAAAAAGCTTACCCTGTAGTTTAGTTTAAATTTGTATAAACTGGAATTTGGGCTGGGCAATGTGGGAAAAAAAAGACAAATTTTTATTTTTTTTTAATCAGTCCTGATTTTCGATCTTCCATCTTATTAAAAACATAAACATGTGGACTTAAAGTATAAAGAGCAGAGTGTCAGGATCGCTACAGTTTTTTGTTTTGTTTTGTGTTGATCAGACCAATAATTCACATTTAAAGTTTGGAAAGAGTTTGTACAGTATATTGAAACCTAAAAGTACACGCACGTTACCGATATCAACAAACACAAACAATGTCTGTGCACTAAATGAGAAACTGGCGGAAAGCGGGGATGGAGAACAAAGCTTCACGGCAACCGGGAGGATGCACCGTGAAACTTTCCTGAAGTCACTGGACGGATGGACAAAGCCTGGACTTCAGTGACACCGAACCCATCCTGTCGGGATTCAGAAAGACCCGAATAATTCTAACTGTTCTGTAGCGCCAGTAAAATGTTTGTAACTTGTGGTGTGAGACCCTGCGTTGTCACGATCAGATGTTGTATTTATTCATTTACGCGTAGAGCCGTGAATCTGAGCAATCGAATCACTGAAGCTCTAGTGCACAGGTGTCAAACATACGGCCCGGGGGCCAGATCCGGCCCTCCAAGACCTTTAATGTGGCCCTTGGGTGATTTTCTACTAAAATATTTTAATTATATTTTCTATTAAAATCTTGTTAATTTTCTGTGGTGTTTATCACAGCAGCGTCTCCAGCGTCTCTGTACGTGGCCCCTCCCACCAGAGCAGCACAAATGAAGACTTGTCTCTTTCCAAACGCTCTTAAAGGACGATCGTTTTGACTGTTGACCGTGACACCCTCATCAGAAAAATGTCCAACATGAGAAAAGTGGAGCCGAGTGCAGGATTTTACAAGAAAAAATTAACTTATTCCTATTTAAAGCAGCTCTGTTTGTACAAGTGTCTCCATGGCCGAGCACCAAAGTCCATCTGTGACATGTTAGTGTCATATGAACATTCACACTCTGAGGAGCTCAGGGACCGGCCTCCTGCTGGTGCCCAGAGTCACGACTAAACAAGGGAGTCAGAGTTTCAGGTTCATTGCAGCTAAAACCTGGAACAGTCTGAACATGTGAGAAAGACTCTTCTGTGACGCTGTTTAAATCCAGACTTAAAATTTGTGTTTAACTGTGCAAATAACTGAAAGGTTTTCTTTCCGCACTCTTCTCTCAATTTATGTCTCTCTTTTTTAATTTTAATCTTCATGATTATTTATGTTTGATTTGTTTTATTATGATTTTAATGTATTTCTTATTCTGTAAAGCACTTTGAATTACTTTGTGTACGAATTGTGCTATACAAATAAACTTGCCTTGCCTTACTGTGTCCTGTGAGGAGCTCTGTCACCTCTAAGCTGCGGACACACTGGTGGTCTTACATTATAACATGCACTTATTTAACTTTTTATTTTTACTATTTTCTTTTTAATACTATGAACCAGATATTACGTGTTCTTAATAAAGACTGAATTGAATTGAATTAAGTGGAACTGATGCTGAGTCTGACGACAGCGACGCAGAAGAGGAAGCGGCGCTTTGTTTACCTCTGGAGGTCGAGGCCGAGTTGTTCAGAAGTGACACCGAGGATGAAGAACTGAATGGATTTAGTGATTTGGAGTGAGATGGAGAGTTTGTTAAACTTGTTCTGTTCTGTTGTTTATGTTATAGTTTATCTGAAGAACTGTTCATATGTGACGTTAACAGTCTGTTCTTCTCTCTTCTAGTGTTTTTACTACAACTTGACTTTACACAGGAAATGTCTGCTCCTGGTCTCTGATTTTATAAAATAAATTTCCCCCAAAAAGTGTGACTTCTACTCTGGTGCAACTTTCATGTGTTTTTTTCTTCTTCATGATGCATTTTTTGGGCGGTGCGACTTGTACTCCAGAGCGAAAAACACGGTACTTTCCGTTACTTGGATCATAAAGATGAGAAACACCAGAGGAGAGAAAGAGGAGAAAAGTTGAGGAGCTGGATCGGAGAGAAATTTCGCCAAATTGTGCAGATGTAAGTCAAAACTTGCGAACACATAAAGAGACATAAAGAGACGAGCTGTGGTTCAGGCTACTTTTTCCTAAAGAAGAGCATAAATCCTCATCAGCTCCAGCACTTTTACTGCCACGACTGGTTGTAGAGTCGATTAAAATGCGCTCGCCATCGAAATCGACCAGTGTCTTTTGATTTTTGGCACAGCCCCAACTGGAATTGTATTAGTTTGTCGGTTTATATTTCAGTCTTTTTGTCAATTCTTCCGGATGTGTTTCAAATGTGAGCTTTGAACAGAATCCTGATATTAAAACAAAACTTGCAAATTTAATCGCAACTTAACATAATTTCCTCCACATCGACAAAATATTAGATCTTATTCTGCATCAAAACTGCTAAATCTGTAGTTTAGATCTGTATAAACAGGATCTGAAATGTGATTTTTGTATTACACTTTGTTGGGTCTTATTTCAGTCCTTCAAAATGTGAACTTTGAAAACAAAAAATTACAAATCTAATCACAATATCTTTCCCAAATGGTTCAGCCCGATTCTATGTATGTATATGTGTGTGTGTGTGTTTTTTTTTTCGTACGCCGGTCGGTCTTCCAGGATCAGGGCCGTGGTGGAGAGCGGCTCGAAGTCCAGGTTCTTCCTCACGCTCTGACGAGGAGAAGTGGGGTTGCTCGCTCCGGCTCTGCCACTCTTTGTTTCATATTCCTGCGCACAGAGAGAGAGAGAAAAAAAAAAGAAAACATTTACAAACTTATCCAGGTCTACTGAGACGAGCTGTCGCCTCCTCCAGATCAGATCTACGGAGAGGAGCCAGACAGACGGACAGATACTTTTAACGCCATACAGAGGAACATTCCAGGCAATGCAAAAACATCTCCAAGAGTCACAAAAGCAAAAACAGCACCACCTCTGCCGTTTGTTATTCATCTATAATGTTTTTATTACAGAACATATTTTCATTTTTGTCCATTTTTGGTTAGATATTATACCAAACCACACTCCCTACAACTGTACAACAACTCACCTTTATGTAACATAATACTCCCTACAACTGTACAACAACTCACCTTTATGTAACATATAATACTCCCTACAACTGTACAACAACTCACCTTTATGTAACATATAATACTCCCTACAACTGTACAACAACTCACCTTTATGTAACATATAATACTCCCTACAACTGTACAACAACTCACCTTTATGTAAGATATAATACTCCCTACAACTGTACAACAACTCACCTTTATGTAAGATATAATACTCCCTACAACTGTACAACAACTCACCTTTATGTAACATATAATACTCCCTACAACTGTACAACAACTCACCTTTATGTAACATATAATACTCCCTACAACTGTACAACAACTCACCTTTATGTAACATATAATACTCCCTACAACTGTACAACAACTCACCTTTATGTAACATATAATACTCCCTACAACTGTACAACAACTCACCTTTATGTAAGATATAATACTCCCTACAACTGTACAACAACTCACCTTTATGTAAGATATAATACTCCCTACAACTGTACAACAACTCACCTTTATGTAACATATAATACTCCCTACAACTGTACAACAACTCACCTTTATGTAAGATATAATACTCCCTACAACTGTACAACAACTCACCTTTATGTAAGATATAATACTCCCTACAACTGTACAACAACTCACCTTTATGTAACATATAATACTCCCTACAACTGTACAACAACTCACCTTTATGTAAGATATAATACTCCCTACAACTGTACAACAACTCACCTTTATGTAAGATATAATACTCCCTACAACTGTACAACAACTCACCTTTATGTAAGATATAATACTCCCTACAACTGTACAACAACTCACCTTTATGTAACATATAATACTCCCTACAACTGTACAACAACTCACCTTTATGTAAGATATAATACTCCCTACAACTGTACAACAACTCACCTTTATGTAAGATATAATACTCCCTACAACTGTACAACAACTCACCTTTATGTAAGATATAATACTCCCTACAACTGTACAACAACTCACCTTTATGTAACATATAATACTCCCTACAACTGTACAACAACTCACCTTTATGTAACATATAATACTCCCTACAACTGTACAACAACTCACCTTTATGTAAGATATAATACTCCCTACAACTGTACAACAACTCACCTTTATGTAACATATAATACTCCCTACAACTGTACAACAACTCACCTTTATGTAACATATAATACTCCCTACAACTGTACAACAACTCACCTTTATGTAACATATAATACTCCCTACAACTGTACAACAACTCACCTTTATGTAACATATAATACTCCCTACAACTGTACAACAACTCACCTTTATGTAACATATAATACTCCCTACAACTGTACAACAACTCACCTTTATGTAAGATATAATACTCCCTACAACTGTACAACAACTCACCTTTATGTAACATATAATACTCCCTACAACTGTACAACAAACAACTCACCTTTATGTAACATATAATACTCCCTACAACTGTACAACAACTCACCTTTATGTAACATATAATACTCCCTACAACTGTACAACAACTCACCTTTATGTAACATATAATACTCCCTACAACTGTACAACAACTCACCTTTATGTAACATATAATACTCCCTACAACTGTACAACAACTCACCTTTATGTAACATATAATACTCCCTACAACTGTACAACAACTCACCTTTAGGTAACATATAATACTAATACTACATATAATACTACTATATACCTACTATAATAGGTCTAAACCAGAACTAAAAAAGGACTAAACCAGGACTTAAAAAAAGGACTAAACCAGGACTAAACCAGGTCTAAACCAGACCTAAACCAGGATTAAAACCAGGACTAAAACCAGGACTAAAACCAGGACTAAAACCAGGACTAAAACAGTATATATCCAGGACTAAACCACGTCTAAAACCAGAACTAAACCCGGACTAAACCAAGATTTAATCAGGACTAAAAGAGGACTAAAACAGAATTAAACCGGGACTAAAACAGGATTTAATCAGGACTAAAACAGGACTAAAACAGAACTAAATCAAGACTAATCCATGCCGTGCTGCCGCAGCCCCCAGTCCTTGGTATTTTGTCGGACATAAAACTGGTCCGTGGAGTTAAAAAGGTCGAGGAGCAGTGCTTTAGGCGACATCTGAACTCACACGTTTGGTTGAAGGACAAACTCTTCCCAACAGGATTCTTTTTACACCAGTTTACTGAAACATCTGTGTTAGTACAAGCAAAACGACTAGAACACAAAAGTACAAAGTGATACTGTTGTCATTCTGTGACTTCAACAATGCTCGAATGGGCTGTAAAGAAACAGTAATATAAATATAGCTGCAAGTGGCAATGATCGGCCCTCACGTGTGCCTACGCCGCACCCCACAAACGCCGCGCCCCGCAAACACTCCGAATCGCAAGCGTCGTGCTCCACAAGCATCGCACCCCACAAACACTGCACCCTGCGCCCCGCAAACGCCACGCCGCACCAACCCTAATAACCCTAAGCTTAAACCTAACCCTGAGTTTTTTAAACGAGACCATGTCACAAATCTGGGTACCAAATTTTGTATATCTATGACAAATAAAACCTTGTTTTTTTTCGATACAAATTTTCTAGGGGGCGCTATTGCATCCATTTTTCTTACATCAGTCTGTTCGGGGTCGAGGTGTGAACCCACAATTAAAATTTGAGTGAATTTGGCCAAAGTTTGTGTGATTTGTCAATTTTACCAATGGAATAACATGGACAGTTTATGTCATCGCTATGGCAAATTTTCAAGAAAAATTTTAGATTTTTTAAAAACTAAATTTTTTATAATTAAACGGAATTTTTGAATTCTGAAGTCTGGATTCACCACATGATTAAAAAACACAAAATATGCTAAAAGTAGTATGTAAGTTCATTATTATTATTATTTTATTATTATGGTTGAGTGTTACATGTTAGTGTCGTGCAAACACTAATTGGGAGTTAAAATTAGACTTGAGAAATATTTAAAGAACCACCCATGATCATTATTATTCTAGTTCCACAGAGTCATACCTTCATGTAACACCACTCCCATGTCCTAAGTATTTGTCAGGAGGCGTCTAATGAGCGAGGACTTGGTGCGATATGACCCGAGAAACAGGTCATGTGACTCGAGGTTAAAGTTAAGGAGTCTTCAAAACTTCAAAACAGGGTCAGCGATCAGATGAGACACGCACAGAAAGGAAAAAACAACAGCCTCGTGGACAAAAAAGCAAAGGAGATGCTCCGTGTACCATTTGTTTTTGTCCATTTCCATTAAGAACAAAAAACAATAACATGGGGAAAAAAGTTTGTTAGTTCGTTACTACGTTTTAGTGTCAAAAACAGATTTCAACCTCTATTTCCAGTATTTCATTTTGCTATTTGATTCTCTGTGGTTCATTTGCCCTGGACATTTATCGCTATTTTCTGTTTCTCGTCCTGGAGTTCAACAGTGACTTTCTAAGACTTGAAAATAAACACGTCGCTATAAAAGAAGAGACGCGTTTGTCCACAAAACTGCAACGATTTTTCAGGTAAATCCTTCTAGCAGCAGAACTTCCGGAACAAATAGATCAGAAAGAATAAAATATCAAAATTAAAATAGTCACCAAGTTTAGTGATTGGTGTTATTTGAAATTAAATATTGGAAATAAGAGGTCGAAATCAGTTTTTTTTTTGTTTTTGTTTAACACTAAAACTGTTTTCCCATTTTATTGTTTTTCTTTCTTTTGAATCTGGTTTATTTGCCCTGGAAGTTCTGTTGTTTAGTGCAAAGTGTGTAAATTCAGTGCCAACTGAATAAAGGAAGTTACACTGTTTCATCTGTTCAGGCTTTTACTCGTCTTATTTTTGTTTTTTTGCTTTTTAAACTATTTTTAGTAAAGACTGTCACCCGGGAGTGTCAAACTCAAATTCACAGAGGCCAAAATTCAAAACTGGGACTAAGTCGTGGGCTAAACTAAATATTTATTGAAAAATTTCACCAACATCTGCATTTTTTCTCTTCTCTCGAGATCTGTAATATTAAACCTTTTCTTATTAAAATAAATGTTTAATAATAGTTTTGCTTCAACACTGAATCCAGAACAAACAGAATATAAAATATTAACATTTTAAATAAATAGTCTCTATAGTTGATCTGTAGCCGACGGGCAGCTCTAATATATTTGTTGATTTGACACGTTTGATATGATCTCACGTGCCAAATATAATTATATGTAAAGAAATGTCATATGAGTTTGACACGTCTGCTATAAATTGTAATTTTCAGATTTCAGATTTAGACTGAAGCATTGGTTAACTAACTCGAAGGGTACATAAGTCCTATATAAAAGTCCTGTATCTTCTTTTGTTAACTAATGAGATTTAAAGTTAGCATTTCACTGATCCAACTTTAAAAATTCAAATTTAAGCCTCTACATCAGGGGTGTCAAACTCATTTTGGTCTGGGGGTCGTATCCAACCGACTTTGATCCCAAAGTGTCCGGATCAGAAAACTCATGTCATATAAACCCCAAAAATAACAATAAGTTCAAATATTTGTGCAGAGAAACACAAATCTATTACAGAAATCTTTTTTAATTGATGAACTCTTTCTTATTATAATATTATGAACAACCTGAAATTTTAAG